AGAGCTTGTGCCTTTTTCTCGCTTCGTCACTGGCAACAGCGTCTCCACTTTCCGTCACTTCTCCAGCTTGACCTTTACTTGACCTTCACTTCCCAAGTCAAAAAGCTTCCCACTTCCACCTTCCAGCAACTGCCTGACCCCTTTGACACATCCCATAAAACCGCGTGCGTCAACTCATTTCGCGCTTCGACACTTGCTTTCTTCCTCTTTGCCACATCTCTCGACTTTGTCCTCTCCTTCTTTCCTGCCTTAACCCACAACCTCTCGACGTCGTCACATACGGTGCATCATCTTACTGATCACACCCTTTACGTCGCGTAACTCTCAACTTCATTCACGGGCCTTGATTCCCTCGTCCTCAACCATGAAGACCCTCATCATCGCTGCTGCTCTTGTTGGCGCAAGTTTCGCGCAGACACTGGCTGACTTGCCTCAATGCGGTGTGAGTATCTCGTACTCCAAACTGTCTTGATCAGAATTTTGGCTGACCTGTCTTCCAGCAAGTGTGTTTCAATAATATGATCGCGCAAGCTGCTACCCTCGGTTGCCCTGAAGTTAATGGATCGCCTGATGTCGTCTGCCTCTGCAAGAACTCTGACTTCAGTTATGGCCTCCACGACTGCTCCGCTGAATCATGCCCTGTCGGTACCGATATCTCGTCAGTTCTTACCTATGGTCAAAACTACTGCAGCAATGGTGAGTAAAGATGGACTGTGGGACAAAGATGGACAATTGTACTGATGACTGTTAGCTGCTGCTTCCGCATCCAGTGCCGGTAGCTCGGTCGGTGCTCTCTCTGGTACCTCTGCCTTGACTGTGGGTGGTGCGACGGCCACTGGCGCTAGTGATGCCACTGCTACTGGCACTAGTGGAGGAAGTGCTTCTGGCTCTGGTGCTTCGGGTTCTGGCTCTGGCGAATCCACCCCAATTTCTACCGAGACGCTCTTTTCGACCTTCACTTCCGATGGCAGCACCATCACCACCGCTGTTGGCACATCCACCATCTTTGGTGCTGCTGGCGGATCAGGTGGCAGTGGCGCCTCTTCGACTCCTGTTTCGACCGAGACTCTGTTTTCAACTGGCACCGACAGTGCAGGCAGCACCTTCACCACCGCCGTGGGCACATCCACCATCTTTAGCGCAGTTGGAGCCGGGGTAAGTAACATCGGTCTGCAAGAAGTCTTCAATGTCAGAATCACTGACGGGTTCTAGTCTGCATCATCGGGCGCCTCTGGCGCGAGCGCATCGGCCTCGTCCCTCTCAGCGTCTCTGTCCTCCCAAGCTTCATCGGCATCCTCTGCTGCCTCGAGCGCTGCATCCTCCGCTGAAGCTTCTGCATCATCTGTTGCCAGCTCTGCGTCTTCACGTCTGTCCAGCGCTACGGGTTCAGCCGCGTCCGGTGCATCATCGGCTGCTTCTTCGGCGGCATCTGACGCGACTGGTGCGGCCATGCCAGTGGCAACAGTGGCAGTCAACGGTCTGGCTGGCATTGCAGGTCTGGCTGCGATCATGATGCTGTGAATGAAAAAATAACTTGATCCACATTTGGGTCGGGTAGGAGGGTTGATAAAAATTTCCGATTTGTTTCCACATCACTGTTGATACCCACATTCGAATGGCGCGACTTGTATCCCACTGCACCAGGCAGGGAAAAAGAACAATCGGCGGGCAGAATCTCAGCGCAATTGACTTGTTCATGGTCACCGCAGCGTGCCTATTGATGCGTAACGGATTTTACGGACAAACCAACGGTACCTTTTAGCACGAGCATGGAGCTTTCAGTGTAATAGGCCCGATGGAACGGGCTGATAGCTAATACATTATGTATTGAACTCGAGACAGAAATCTTTTCACGAGGGCAAGTGTGAAATAATTTGTAGTCGTGTGCAGGAGCCAGGTTCGCTTCCAAAGCCGAAGCATCCGCACCCCTTTGTACCAGATGTGGCATGGATCATGGGTGTCCAAGATAGCAAAGCAGAATTGCCATTGGCGCGCTTACCTTGGGAGAAGCATCTCCACTTGTGCGATAACATACGAGCATTCTCGTAAACCAGTCCGTCTTTTATCCCATCGTCCTAATATTGAGACGACCTTGCCCAATTTGCCAGTAAAGTTCATGTGGCATGTACCTCGGTATGTACTTCATATACAAACAATTGCAGACCTCACGTGTGTATCCGAGGTATGTCTGTGTCGGCGCAAAATATCACAACTACAAAGCACAAGTCCGGCGTTAGGTGCACATGTACTCGAAATATGTATGAGGTAGATATGCTGCGATTGCGTTACAATTCCTTTTCAGCCCAGCCAGCCAGCCAAAACAGCGTTCGTTGGATACGATGATACATCGATGTATGTATCTAGGTACATACACGGTTCTGGGGGGAAAATGGGAAGACAGCATGCACTTGTCTGAAATTGAGCGACTTTGTCGGCTTTGGGACTTGGGGGTATGGGGTTTTAGGATTCGGGCCTACTCGTTAGGGGTGGGTGTCTGTTGCGAGGATATCATATACATATCATGAACTCACAAGAGCATACAGCACCGAAACCCCGCCCGCGGAGGGAGGAGGGAAGAGAATAGAGTCGAGATGGGGCCAGGCACTTGAATCCCACAAGGATACACATGTGCTCATGCTCTCATGTTCACGCTTTGAAAGAGAACTGATCCTTCACGAAATGAATGATGTGGGAAACTCCTTTGACATTTTATATCGGTGGCAGAGAGGGTATCATTATTACACGTTGCGTCAAACTCAAGGACGATCCAGAAGAGCAGTACATCGAGTGGTACTAGCAGCGCAACTCACATACTCACTCACTCACTCCCAATCCTCTTCGTCACTCTCCTCCTCGACCTTGCTGGTGGGCGACCGGCCGATGTCGTCTTTCGGACTTCCCGGTGCCCGGCTGTTCGCTCCACTGACGAGATCATAGCTGGCGTCGCTGTCGGCCACGGACTTTTCGTCGTGAGATCGGCGGCCTTCGGGTTTGAGCGAGCTCGGGTCCGCCGATGCAGGTGTCTGGTGTATCGTGGTGGAGGAGTCGTTGGTGTTCTGAGCAACGAGGACTTTGGGCACGGCTTCGTTTCGTAGCTGGGGAGTCGAGGCAGCTGCTGGTTCCTCATCACTGTCCTCGTCCCAGCCGACCTCCTCTGTTTCGTGTGCAGATGCTATGATCGACCCATTAGCGGAGTTTCTTCAATGGCGACATCTGTTGTCAACATCTCAGCCTTACCTTTGAGAAGTTCCTTTCTCTTTTCTTCCTGTGTCTCCACTACGTGTCTCAAGAAATAGTACCTCGTCCAGAAATCCTTGTACTCGACCTTCTCCGGCACAAGCTGCTCCATGGTGCTTCTCAGCTCCCTGTACTTGTCAAGGTCTTCTGCAATGCGGGCGGTCATCTTGTCGATATCGAACCCTTCTCTAAAGTTGTCCCACTGGGACCCCGCTCCGCTGGGGTCTTGGGTGAAGCTCGTCACCGTCGTGTGGATGACATGTAGCTGCGCATCGAATCTGCTCGTGTGGATGACTCTTTTGCCAGAGGTAGGGTCTCTGCTTTCAAAAAGCACCTCACTAGCCTGGCGATTGCCAGTGGCAGCGTCGTCGTCGTCAGGAGCAGTTACCGACACGGCGTCTCGCAGAAAGTTTCGGATGTTTGTGCCGAATCTCAAGAGTGCCTCGTCGGCAGCGTCCTCTGCTCGCTGCACGTCCTTCAGCCTCTTCGCGGCCTCCGTTCTGAATCGCTCAAGAAAGGTCTCCGTCTCTTGAATTGTCTTGTTCTGCTCGCTTTCTTTGCCGGCGCTGGATGATTCTGCATCCGCGTCTGCGTCCCGGCTCGAATCGTTCTCTCCCTCCTTCTGTTCTGCACCGAACCCCAACCCCTTGACGCCCTTCACGCGCAAGGCTTCCATGTCGACTGCCATTTCAGCTGCCTCTTTCTTCGCCTCCTCGTATAGACTCTCCCCTTGTTTTCTGACATTCCCCCAGAAACCACCCAGTTTGACACCCCATTGTGAGTTGGAAAACGCCTTGAAGGTCTCCTGAAACTCTGACTGGAGGCTCTGTCGAGGGGAGGTGGTCTTTGGCGTCGAGGTATCATTGGTGTCTGACGAGGTATTCGTTGCGGGTGTAGGAGTAGTGGCGCGGTCTCCCGCGATGTAAGCTTGTTCGGCAATATGATCGTATGCAAGATCCATAGTTGTTGGGAGGGAAGTGTGGTCAATGCGAGGTTGTGGAGAGGGGTAAGAAGACGAGCGGACGGGCGAGGTTCGCCTCTGTTGCTGTAGAACGACTGTACGAGGGGGTACGTAGCGACCGTATGTCTAGGAAAGAGGGCGAACTTCAGCTGCTGTGTCAGGGGTGGTGACTGACGAGACACGAGTTCTTTGACATGCGCGCGCAGGGAGGTTGGAGTGATGATCAAGGGGGGAATTCGTCGATGACGGTCACCGATCCAGGGACCACGTCAAGCACGTGCGGTGTACTCGTTAATGGTCACATTAATTTAATTCTGCCGTCTGACAAGAAATGGTTGAGTACAGTCTCCGCGAGCCTGCGCCATCCTCGGAGGAATTCCACCCAGTCAGACAAGGCCCAAGAGTATATTCAGGAGCATACATATGCCTCGTACTACTTCTCCGCTCACAAGATGCCCCTTTGTCTCGCGTCTCTAACATCCCCCCAAATACCGAACCTGCAAATCTCTGAGACAGGTGCAGGCGGCGAGGTTGTTAGAGACATTCTCAATCGAGAAAAAGGTGACGACTGGCTTGAACAGATCGGTTACATTGTATGCCTTATTCAATTCCCTTGCCGTCTGCTTATGTACCTTGTTTTCCGTTGTTCGTTCTTTTGGGATACAGGGACCAACTCACGGAAGGGAAAGGCAATGATAATATCACATCGTATCACATCCCTTTATACCCTCAAGTCCACTGTCGTCCTCATCGCACGCCTAGTCACTTCGTATCATGACATTCGTAGTATTTCTTCTTAGTCTTAATACTCAAAGTCGTCATCCACTCCAGTCTTGCCCGACTGTTCCTTCTGCACCACCTCCTGTTTCCTGTACATCTCTGCTACGTCCGCGCTTGTTGTCGCCTCCTCCGGCTTCTTGTCGTCTCTTCGCTGGATGAACCGGGGAAATCTGAGGCTTATTCCGTTCTTGCCGCCCATCTCCTCAATTGCGGCCCGGTATCTGGGACTCAACGTAAGATCCGCAGTCTTTACTTCCCAGACATGCCGCGGCTCGAACCAAACATCTGGCTGGTCATTTTTGACGGTCGAATGAGAGTAGAAGGGTTTAGGGCGCTCAATCACTATTTCGGAGAGCTGCTTGGCAAGCTCCTCGAGCAGGGACTCAGAGAAACCGGTGCCAATATTGCAAACCGTTTCGAAATTTTGGGTCTCTGGATTGTATGCGGCAAGAAGGAAAGCACCATACCAGGATGTGCGCTTACCTTTGCCGTGGTAAGCCCCTAGAACCACAAGATCCAAAGAATCGCCTGTGGTAGAGAGATAGTCCTTCTTCACTTTGAGCCAGTTTCTCGAGCGTTTCGAAGGCTCGTAAGCCGATTCTTCCGTGTCGAGCATCTTCACCATCAAGCCTTCGCAAGATGCTTTGACAGCATCATCGAGTAGATGCTGAATCTCTTCGACATCCTTCGCATCGCCGTATTGGGCAAATTGGAATTCGCCGTCTACTGGCACGAAGGCGTCATGTAGTAAGTCTCGTCTCTCACGGAATGTTTTCTGCACAAGCGCTTCACCGTTATAAAAGAGCATGTCGAAGGCAAAGACACAGACTTTGACCGTGACCTCAGATGTCTTGACGTCTTTGCGCTTCCGGGTCATAAGTTGCTGGAACGGTAGGATTTTCTTGTTTTGAGGGTCCCAGGCGACGGTTTCACAGTCCAGCACAAAACTCTTCGTTGTGGGCTTGATCCACGTATTGAGTTTCTCCAGGATGTCGGGGTACTTTTTGGACAGATCCTCAGAATTCCTCGAGAACACGGCTGCCAGACCTTTGAATGCCTTTGGATCTTTGGTCAGTGTATTCTGCGCCGCTGGGTATTCGGAAATGGCTTCCGGGGCAATGTAGTGGATCTGAGAACGCTCCCCATCGTATTTATATTCGCATGTGAAGGTTTTGCCCTCGAAGCGATCAAGCACCTCAGTGATTGCCTTGGTTGGTTTGGCAAGCATGGGTTTCAGGGGCACCCCTGGCTGCAACTTGCACGTCTCGTGTAAGTGGAAAATGCCATGTTCCAGCATTGCTGGAATGATGACTTCGTAGGATGGCAGCTGGCTGTAAACCATTTTCAAGGCAGCTTCTCCCTGCGCCAATTGATCCGTAGTAGGAACCTTGCCCTCCTTCGTCGCCTCGTGAGTGACGACGGCCTGTGCCAATGCAATGATGACTGTTTTCTCCGCAAGGCCCAGTCTCAATTTTCCTTCCAGGAAACGAACCAAGAATTTGGCTTCGGAAGGACCTCCTTTGTCCTTGGTGATATCGACGGTTTTACTCGTGGATGAGACATCTGCAGATGCCATGAGCTTATTGATGGCTCGAACTTTCTGATCTTGTGAACCTTGCCCTTCCATCTTGGCAATATCGAGTAATCCCTGATGGACACCGCGGACAGTCAGCGGTTTGGGTTTGAACATCTGGCTCTGCTTAGATTTGCTCTTGGCTGCAACCAGACCAAGGTCACCAATCTTTTGGTGATCCGCCTTAATGACCGATAACGAACGGCCAGAACTCTCTCCGATGGCTTTCATGATCAGCGATTCCCCTATTCCAAGTTCGATGCCCGCGTAGTCGGCGGCGAGCTTGTTCAGCATAAGTTGAATCGTAGGCAGGAGATCTTGTGGGGTCAATCGGAGTACTTGCTGGAGAAAGGCTGAACAGTAGGCCGTGATTTGGAGACGCTTGGTAGTGAGTTCGATCAAAGAAAAGGTTGTACACAGTGCCGCGTATGGTACGGGCTCACCGGCCTTCCAATCAGGATAAGGATCTTTCCCTGTTGATTTGATGGTGGCTTGAATTTTGGCCACTTGCTTTTTGTCAACCTTGGGGTTTTCATCTTCACTTGCAGAGACATCATCTTCAGCTTCTGATACACTGCTAGCACGATCTGATGGTTCTGGTTCCTCTTGTTGTGGCTTGACCGGTTTCGAAGACGTCTTTTCGGTGTCGGGGTCGGAATCCGTTCTTGAGACACCATTTGTCTTTGGGGATGCCTTGGGCTTATCTTTGGACGCAGAATTTCGCCTCCGTCTCTTGACCACAGGCTCATCATCAGACTCCTCGTCCTCTTCTGTGGACTCTAGCTTGTGCTTTCTGCTCGGGGAAGTGTTGCTTTCTCCCTTGTTATTCTCGACGTCGTCCGCGTGTCCCTTTTCCGGATCTAGAGTCACATCATTCTCCTCTTTGGGTGGATCGTCCTCCTTTTTACCATTGGGAGTTGACTTTTGGTTGAACGAGAGAGTAGACTGGGTTTTTGATTTGTTGCCGTTCTGTTTGCTCCCGAGGAATTTGCTGCAGAGGTTAGTGCCGGCTTCTCATTACAGGGAAAATGATTGCGGGCTCACCCAAGGGTCGACTGCCTCCCTTGTGTCATGTTGAGCTTTGGCCGTAGGTCGAGAGGTCTGGAGTTGAATGTAACAGCACGAAACTCGTGAGTGACCAGGAGAAGGGGAGGATAGGACCGGGACAAGAATCTGAGGTGGAATGAAAATTGAGGAGACAGTGAGTTCCTGACAATCGCCTGAGGTCCGAGGACGCAACCTAATGGCGTCAATTTCATCCAGGTGAAGTTTGTAGCTGCAGCAGTCACCTGCGTAGTCGAGATCTCAGTATAGCGAGAAGGAAGGAGCGCGTCGTTGACGCGTGGGGTAATTAAGGCGATCAATTAATTCGCGTATGTGACGATTTTAAATGACGTCGTGCGTGTGCGATGTGCAGGCAGTTGGGGCGGAGTAGCGGACGCCTGCTGTGCCTATTGAGCCACGTGTTGTGTACCTATGTCGCTCGGTAGATACCTAGGCAAAGGCGCAAATAGGCACAAGCATTGAAGGCTCGCCATCTACAGTGTGATCATGCAGTTCATCCATTCAAAAATAGATCAGAAGCAATACCTACCATCTCCTTCGACTTTTTCACTCTCACTATCTAATCCCAGAATTGCACAGCATCCAGATCTCTGATCAATTTACAGTATAGCAGATACTGGCGTGGCTAACGCATTTCAACACCAACTCATGGCTGTACCACTCCATATCGATACACCACCCCATGTCAGCCTGAACAGGCACCACCTTACTGCCTCGCTCGACCTTTCGACCTTTTCTACGCGCCAACCTCAGCAATGTCAGCGCCCTCGGGGACTTTCCTCTGTGTTAGAGTCACTTGTATCGATGTCATTATGTTCTTCCCTCTGCTGGTCGCCTTCAGACTGGCCTCGGTTCGAATCCTCCTCATCATATTCAGTACTATCGTAGTCGTACTCCTCTCCTCTGTCGGTAAACAGGTGACTCGGATGAACAATCTCCTTCGACCGGTAGCACTTGAAGCACAGGAAAAACCCTCCACACAGATCACACCGGTAATACACTCCGACCACAAGCTACGGCGTTGTCTCGTTTGTCAGCAAACATCTTTGGTCGTGCATTGAACTTGGGTAAATAGGGGGCAATGGACTTGGGGCCATCACTTACGATTAAACATGAGTCGCAGTAGTAATTTTCCCTACAAGTTTTGGCTCTTCTCGCATGCCGTGACGAACTATCCCAAGTTCGATTCAATGCGGCGGCACGCAACTCCAGGAAAGCGATGATACTGGAAGGCAGGTTGTAGTGGTTCGCGAGCTTCAGCGCTGTCCACTTCCGGTCAAGACCCAGACCTTCCGCGAAGAGATCTGCCCCGTGGTGGAGCAGTTCTTCGAGGATCTCTTGTCTGTTATCAGACTGGGCATCCCAGAAAGTGCATTTTCGCATGGCCCAGAGGAGCGGTGTCCATTGATCCCTGTCCTTGGAGTTGACAACATCCAGACCTCTCTCTCTGGCCTTGTCTAGGACATACCGAACTAGATCGAGACGACCACTGACAACCGCAAGATGGAGAGCGCCCCTGCCCATCTTGTCAGGTTCGAAAAGCTGCGCGCCATGTTCAGGTCGGCACAGCAGCTCCACCCGGTCGATCGATCGGTAGAGAGCATAGTGGATAGCCTGGCGGCCGACCCTGTCAACGCTGTTGACCTTTGCACCCCTTTCCAACAGCAGCCTTATCACTTCCATGGTGCCGCTGAGGACCGCCACGCTCAGGGGCCCTCCCCACCAGTTGCTTGTCAGATTGGCGTCAGCCTTGTCCTCGGCGTCGTCAAGCAGGTACTTGATGATGCTATCTTTTTCTGGGCCCGGGTCGCGCAGCAGCGCCGCTTGAAGTGGCGTGCCGTTAACACCCGGATGGACGATGTTGGTGTCTGCGCCATGCTTGCACAAGAGCTTGACCATGTCCAAGGACGCCATCCGGCAGGCACGTATGAGCGGCCCGCCATGTGGACCGCCAGTGATGTTGATCCTCGCGCCTTTGAGGATCAGGTACCGAGCGATCTCCAAGTTATCTTGCCATGCCGCACTGCAAAGAGCCGTGTAGCCGTCATTGCTGGCACTTTCTAGATCGGCTCCTCTGTTGACGAACGATTTGACAATGGACTCATCGTCTTCACGGCGGGTGAGGAGAACGGCTCGATTCAAGACCGAGTACCCGTACACGTCCTTAGCCTTCTCCAGATCCAGGTTGAACTCTAGCAGCATTTTCACAATGTCTTTTGCACCCCCATTGACGGCATTCATAAGTTCCTCGCAGCCCTGCGAAGGAAGGTTCCGAGGATCTGCCCCCGCGCTCAAGAGGCGGCCGACGCATCGAGTGTTCAGCTTGGAGACGGCCGCGCTCAAAGCCTCCTGTATGGCATCGGGATTGATTCTTTGTCTGTGCTCGAGTAGTGCCTCCAGAACCTCTTCTTTATCCCACTTTGCTGCATAATAGAGACAGGTCCATCCATTCTTTGTCTTAGCATTGATGTCTGCTCCCTTCTGGATCAACAAACGTGTGGTAGTTGCATCGTCGTAGGCAGCATGAATCGGCCGCCAATCACCATCATCGTCTAGCACCTCTAGGTCTGCTCCCGCCTCGATCAGAATGCGAGCAATTCCAGAGCATCGAGCATATACCGCGCGAAATAATGGAGTGGCACCATTCCAATCTCGCTTGTCGAGCGGCGCTCCCTCGCGGACAAGCAGGCGCAAGGTTTCTTCTCGTTGTTGCGCCACCGCGACATGAATGGCGTCCTCAAGCATCTGGGCATGCTCTTCTGGAGAGCAGTGTTCACGGCTAGCGGTGAGGATCGCGTCGATGGCTTGTAGGTCCCAGTCCAATACGATGCCACACTCGAGCAATTGGTCATAGGCACCCCCTGCGAGTGCCCCTTCGGCTTTTAACATGTCACCATATGCCAGTGAGAACCCAGACTCAATTGCGCTCTTCAAAGCGTCGAGGAAACTGTTCTCCTCCGGATTGACAAGGTCCCCGATATGGCTCCAGAGAACGTTCCAGCACTTGTGTCGTTTCATGGTGATTACTGCAGTTACCCAATCCACGACAGCTGCCTCCTCGAACTCTGCCTGTTTTAAAGCCGTTAAGACCTGGTCCAGGATACGATGATGTCCGAATTTGATCGCAAGCGCTGCACACGCTTCAAACACGTCTGCCACGTCAGCCACCTCGGAACGAAACACAGCGGCCTTGGTCAATAGGTCGACAATTTCAGTATGCCCGAATCTACAGGCAAGTTCCAGAGCCGTCTCCTTGTGTTCAGTCTTGAAGAAAATGTCATCATAGTTGACAAGGAGTTTTGCTGCCTCGAGATTGCCTCTGGAACAGGCGTGCTGCAGAGCAGTCAGTCCAGCAACCGTCGCATTCTGTTGGTCTGTCTCGATTGTCAGAGGTAGAATCTCTTTCACAACAGTGGTCTCCCCAAGCGATGATGCTCGACACAGGAGGAGAGTTGGGTCTTGAACGTTCTCCAGGTTTCGAAGACCAAGGCTGATCAATTCCGTCGCTGCTTTTCGATTGCCTAACTGGATGGCGGCAAGCATCACATTATCCCAAGAATCAGGAAGAGAGCCTAGCTTCTCGATGACTCCCAGAGCAGTCTCGAGCTCACCGTTTCCCGCTGCCGCTTCAACTGATTGGATGAGCCTGTGGTAAAACAGACCATCAGACGTTTTTGACCAACATTGGAGTTGTCCATTGTTCACCTGGAACAACGCTTCTAAAAGACCATTGGCAGCGAGAATGGCAAGAGGGTTGTCTTCCGTAATGCTGCCCCGGGTAAAAGGGTTTTGGAGCTCCCAGTGCATCTTGGCCCAGTCCGCTAAAGGACCGTTGTCCCAGAAGTCGAGAAACTGATTGGTGCAGTACGGTCTTCCAGCCTCAGACAGCCGAGCATGGCGAGGCCACCATCGCACCGCGTAGTGCAAAAAGGTGTGTCGCTGTTCGACCGCAATAGCCGCCCTGCCTCTAGGCCACTCATCTGTAACGGAATCACCACCTCGAAGGCTGATGATGTGTTTGAGGCAGAAGTCTGCTATCTCCTGGTGAGCCTTCCATGTGGGAGTTGTGAGTGGAGAATCGTCGGCCAATAGATATCGACGAAGGTCTCTATGGGCAAATTGGACCTCGTACCCGTTGGCCTGTACTAGACCACCCAAGGTGGACTGTAACCTTGGATGTAAGCTGAGGGTCGGTGTCTCGAGTAGCTCGAAGTTCTCGGCCTGTTCCCCGTTGCGTCGGGCTAGATCATTCAGCTCAAGAACGCTCAATGGGCGAATCGAGTAGAGCAATAGGTTCAAAATGTCATGTAAGAACCGGTCTGTGGCCAGAGGTAGAGAGAACAGAATGGCTTTGAACACCACCTCGGGGGTGACATTGCTCGATCGAAGCTCTCGTAGGGCCGGAGTATTCAGACACGTATCAGATTGCCAGGTTCTGGACCAGTTGATCACCATCAATCGCAAATCATTATCTCCCCTGCAAGCTTGGAGGAGATGCGAAAGCAGGGTATGAGCCTTTTCTGTCATTGAAATAGTCTGTGCCAGTCTCAAGAAGTCAATGTCGAGATGTCCAGCCAGGTCCCTCTGATCTGGTCGATGAATGATTTCGGTCTTCTCCACATTTTTCGAGGCAGTTTCGTTGGCAGTTTGCTCTGGGACTTTGGTACAATCTTGATGCTCGGGCTGACGACTCGCTTCAACCTCGACGCCAACCTCTGGCCAGAGTGCTGTTTGTTCTGGCTGTGCAACTTTGAGAGTGGTGATGATGACCTTGATTCTGGCCTCGCATTCCTCGGCCAGCTTGTTGAGTTTACTCAGGAACCAGTCGCACGAGGTAATATTGTCTTGTAGATTCCCCAGCACCAATACAACGCCTTGATCTCTTGTGCCAAGGTCAAGGAGGCTCTCCATGAAGATCACAAGCAGGTCTTCTCGGTTCAACCATGCGAATTTGTCCAGAAACCCCACCAGCCTTCTCCCGATGGTCGCTTGCTCGCCTTGGCCGTTGTGACATCGGGAAAGCATCTGAGCCAAGAATAGATACAGCATGGACTCGATGGAGTTGAGCCGTATGTCGGACGGAATGAATTCGTAGTAGAGACAACTCGCACCTTGGCGCCCTGACGCTTTGCTGTCGTCCAGGAAGTGGAATAAGGATTCCGCTGCTTCAGTGGCAGCCTCGACAGCGTCGAGACGAATCAGAAGGAGTTGTATTCCATCAGTTTCCTTCCATGCCTGGAAATTTTTGTCGGTGGTGATCCATTCGTACTGTCTGAGATCTTTAGATGACGCATTCAGCGAATATTGTGGAGGAGTTTGGGACGCGAGAGATAAAATGTAGCGTTGGTCATCACCTGTCCATCATTGTCTATCAGTATGTCCCCGAGGCCCATGGCATATGACGTTTGCACGAACCGCAAGGCCATAAACTCCGTTTTAACAGATCATTGAAGCCGATAGTTTCACAGGCAAGTACCAGATTCTGGTGGGACATTTCGACCCCTAGGTTTAGGCGTGCTTCGAATGGGAGTTCCATTGTGGCCACGGATTCGTCAAAGATCTTTTTCTTTCATTTAGTTTTCGACGTGCACTTCGAAGGAGCCATGCGACAGATGGTTGCGACTTACTCTTAGAGATGGTTCGCCATAGCATGAGAAGACGCTAATCACTCCGGCCCAAATCGATAGTCTCGACTCAGCGAAAGCAAAGTTGACATCTCGGATCCAATCTGGCATTCCATAGGTAACTGCCCAAGAATCTGATTCACTGATGGATCCGAAAATCTGAAGATTCAGGAGCTTGACCAAATCTTTCCTCAGCTCATAAGGTCCATTGCTTCGATGCGGGCAGCCCAAGAATACCTACTTCCAATTATCAGCAATTGTTAGCATGGCGACTGTCCATGCCTCGAGTTCGTCTCACAATAGCATTAGTATGCAGAAAGACACTGGTATATTTCCCAGAGCTTTGGCCGGCCAGAGCGAGCGCCTGGAGAAAGGCTCAGACAGGTTAGGATTGCAGACGATTGAGCAGAAAAGCAGTTGTCCTCACTTCCTTGACCAGAGTGCCTCCGACATCATGAGCGATGAAGACGAGACTGCAATTCTGTATCCTTAGCATTAGGGAGGGCTGGTCCCCATCGTCACATTGCGGCAAGCAGACATACCTCTCCGTTAATCGTCCTTCGTTCAACCAGGGCGTCAAGAAGACGTAGCGCTTGACGCCTAACGCCCTTCCTGGTAAATATGCCACCAAAGTTATTTGCAACAGCGTAGTTGAATCTCGAAACTCGCTTCCTCACAGAGGAAGTGAATGTCCCGGAGGGCAGATAGGAATCAAGGTTGTCAAGACCAGAGCCCCAATATTCCGAATGATCTTTTCCCAGACCCGGAACAAACACAACACTCGGGATGATTAGTATATGACCAATTCGAATAGAGCTTGCGCACATACTCGACCGAAACCTCACCCTCAACTGGCTCTAGAACCTTCAGGACTGAATGGTAGTGTTCCATTGGAGCTCCCGTGAAGCAACGGTGGCATGTGAGGTAACAATCATTGAGTAGCAATTTGGCATTGCTCGGTTGCCATGAAAATGGTTCAGTGTCTAAATACTCAGCCCAACATTTCCTCCATGGGCCTCAAGCATTGACAAACACGCAGGCCACTTCCGTGAAGGCTAATGACCAAGCAATGATCTAGCTTGCACGTTTAGAGCGGGGGAACGAATGGCCTTCATACTAGCCGGGCAAAGGGTTCCCGTTCCCCGATCTGGCAAGTTGCATATGGGGGCCAGAAGCCACAATGCACTATGTGTCAACTCGATGTGGATGGCTGGGTTTATTGGAAAACAAAGCATGGATCTTGAGTATGCAAGCCGCTGACAAGCCTGGTTCGAGAAGTGATAACGAACAGAATACCGCGTGCTAGTAAACTTAGCTGCGTTGATGGTGGCTGGACTCGAGATATTCTTGGTTCGTTCTCGCCCCCATGACTATTCGTCCTCGTGTTAGGTCTATCACCTACTCGTCTGTGTTCTCTGGCGGCTGCTTCTCCTTAACACCATCGTTCACAATGGTTGTCACTGTAACATCAGACAGATTTGCCAGCTTCAACTTCACGGGATTCCCTAGGTCCTCAGTGTCATACACCTGTAGCTTGTTCGTCGGCGCCCTCTGTGGATCGAAGGTGACAGGGTCGTCCTTGGGACTGGATTTCATAAAAGATAAGGCTGAGGCCAGCCAATTCGGATAGACCTTCACAGTGAAGCGGGCCTGGAACTTTGTCCAGTCCTCGCGCCCTAGTAAGACGGCAGCCTGCATGCTCGTAGGTACTCCAGTCCTGGTGCTTTTGTTCTCGCGCAGAATCCACGATACGCTGTTTGGTTTGCCATAGTTGCGACCCTCGAGAAGGATGAAGCCCTGTAAAGATGTAGCATCAGAAACGTCTCTTTCCACTCTCTTGTCGCGCTTGAGCTCGGCCCCAACTTCTACTCCCGTTACATTTGCACCAAGTTTACCACCAACTGATGTGTTGACCGTCTCGCGCTGCGTCGTCGGATGGACGCTGAAGAAGCCCTCGGGGTGCATCCTCGCAACCCACGGCTTACAGTCATCATCATTCTTGGGCGAGAAGGTGACCTGGATGTCGACTTTCTTGATGCGGTGGTTTTGCTCGAGTGGCTCGAATCGAAACTTGAGGACAACAAGGGTGGCGAGATCGTCACAGTTGGCATCGGCCGAATAGCGCCCGTGAACAATATCCGTGCAGAAACAATCGACGTAGAATATCCCTTTTCGTTGAATAACGTTTGAGCGTTGGTCTGGATCGTTGGGATCGTCTTCGGTGCGGAAATATCCTTCGGAATCTCCACCTTCGCTCAGCCTGATGGAGAATGATTGTGGACAGGCCTCAGAGTCAGGGTCCTTAGCTGTATTTTCGGCGCTGGGAGAGGAATCCATGCCTTTTTCGAATGCAGAGTGTTTGATGCAGAGGAGGGTGTCTCAGTTGTGGGTGGCAGGACGGCACGGTCTGAAATACCTTTGGCCTCTTTCGCTCGCACAGTGGACGGTAGAAGGCGCAGTGCATGCATCTCCTCCCATGGTAGTGCGCAAGTAACTTGTTTGGTATCACACCCACGCACCCTGGCACCCCATGACACCCCAACCAACCGGAGACTATCAGTAAGCTTGCATTGGAATGGAGATAATGTGTACAGTCTCTTCCAAAGATGGCTAGCATTGCCACATGTTTTCAAGCCTCTAGGCTCTTCCCCACACCAAGCGCTTTTACAGCCTACGACAAACAAATACGCATTTGAGATACTGCGAACGCTCAGCCGCTCGTACGAGATACAATCCATGACAATACCGGGCGAGCCTTTAATGGAGATCCGATTGATAAAGAGCCTCAAGAGTCACGCGGGCGTAGGTATCATATCTCGCAGCAAAACGTGATCAATTAACTTGTTCATGCTCTGTTGAGACAACCAGGCTCTTCCAAGAATCTGACAGCTTCACACTCTAATGTACCTACTCAATGACAGCTGTTATTTCGGAATACATCTTACAACCTATTCATGATGCAGGAAACCTCCCGCCCAAGTCGTGTGGCTCAGACAACTCAAGACCATGATAGAGATCCACCGAGACTTGCAACCAGCAATGTGGCACGGCGTGGATCGTGCGGTATGAAAGAAGAAGGAGACATGGACTCCATAGAGACTCCAAGACAAACGATGAAGACAAAGCACCTTTCGAGAACCCCAACAGGTCAGATGGCCGCTTATGGTAGACACGATACTCTAGGTGTGGCAAGCGGAGAGGAGGAAGAAAGCCAGATGTCACTGTGGGATATCTGGAACACCCAGCCCGAGGATGATATCAGGCAAATACTGCAAGAGCTCAAGACTAAAATCCTCCGAAGGGAGATCCAAGTCGACACCGAAGAGCAACTGCGGGCATTCTTGGACAGTGACGACGTGGAATACGTTGGAATCCTCACCGATCCTGAACAGGAAAACTTTCTGCACATGCTGGCTTCTGACGCTCAGAATAGATGCCTCGTCAAATTCCTAGCCGACGAACGGAGTCAACTCATGTTCGGCACGGATCGATCCATGTACTACCCACTCCATGTCGCCATCAAAGAGAAGAATACGGACTTCATCACAGCCGTGCTTGCTAGCAAGTTCAGCGAGACAGATAACATGAAGAAGGTACTTTCACACAAAGGCGGGTCTAATCCAGGGAACTGTATTCACATCGGGATCCAAGTCGGGCTCGATCCGGCACTTATGATCAAACTGATTGAGAAGTCGGACGGCACTACGCTGGCAGAGCAGGATGGCGCCGGGTTGACGCCACTCCACTGCGCTGTAGACTACAAAAATTGCAGGAAAGGTCAATTCGAGGTGGTCCAAGCGCTCTTGAAGTATGGCGATGCGGCTCTCGACAAGGAAGGTAGCATTCACGGGTCGTTGTCACCTTATCAATACCACGAAGAAACGAAGAAGATCGAGAAGAAAAAGCTCGAGGAGGCGGAATGGACAAAAAGACAGAATGACGGCAGAGGAAGCCAGCAGTCGCGAATGGGAAATGACAACCGTGGTGTGCGTGACCCTTCTCATTTTCAAGATGCTGGTCAGGTCGATCTTCGGAAGACCGCCGAGGACGACAAGGATGATGCCAAAGAGCGAAAGAATATGGTCGATCTTGGCTCACGAGGATACGGCGCACGCAGACAGTCCCATGCCATTCAAGCTGACTCAGTCGAGTCCCGGGTCAAATCACCGACAGTTGGTATACGTATCCCGACAGGTGAAAACTCGTTGACCCCGCCTCCACCAACTGACCGTGTGTCGTTCCAGCCAAATACTACCGCAGCAAATCTAGGTAGGCCAAGAAAGGCCATGCGCGCGTCACGTCCAGGTGCCGCAAGAAGATCAGTTGGATCCCAGAGACTCCAGCAACCCGAAGTCCCTCCAGATGACGAGACCGCGGATGAGATTTCGAAGGAACTGAAGTTACACTACCTTCGAAGCATTTTCAAAGGCTCGGCTTGTGCTGGATCCCAGGAATTTGCTGACAGCCACAGGCCAGAGCCTCGAAATCACGACAGGGCTGTCAGGTTTCTGTACGGAGACAACAAAGAAAGTAAGGAGCTCTCTACTAACATTCGATGGTGCGGGTGTTCGTGCTAATCAGAACTGATGTTCAGATCGTCACATATGCTTTAACTTTCTCGACGGCCCTTCGAAGATGACTGCCAATAAATTCAGGGCGACGTATGGGGGGTTTAAATTCGATCATGTTCTGCAGTATGTTGGGTTTCGTCGCCTAGAATTTATGTCGCCCGAGGTGGCTCCCAGAGGGAGTGGCCTCATGTCCAAAGCGGCTGCTTCCTCTGGGAAAGGAAGAAGGGATATGGAGGTCCCATTCAACTGGCTTCATGACAAAGGTGTCACCAACATCATAAAGGTCATTGTCGACGACCTGGAGCCTCCTTCCCACAAGGACGAGTCAATCCAGAATGCTTTGAAAAAGTTTGACATTGAGATTCTTGACTGGAGAAAGATTGACCTCTGTCCAGCCACAATCTGCACATCCTGTCCCAATCTCCGCGAAATTCACCTCTGGTGGAGTGGAAACAATGGGATATTGAGAGCGTGGAGTGAATCAGAGGGATTGGCGAGACTGGAACGACTGGAAATCATACAGATACACCAAACACAGGTAAGCTCTTCCAAAGATCCACCGCATGAAGAAGATGTTGAGCTTGGCATTTTGCAGGAATTAGAGTCCGAGTCTTGGACAGACACGAATATCGCCACGTTTCGCAAAAGACTGAGGGACTTGAGAAGTGCGCAAAACAGTTCTCGGAAAGCCAGCGACAAACTGCCACAAATTCGTGTTCCGGACCCAATCAAAGCCATCGATGGACCTGCCCAGCGACCAACCGGGTTACACCCCAAAACGGACCCTAAAGTCCAACGTGAAACACATAAGTGGTTACACATAATGGACACGTTTGCCGATGGGGTATACAGGATCAAGCCAGATCGCGATGTAGATTTCTTCAATTCTCTACCGCCAGAACTCAAGGCAGACGTAAGAGTCGCATTGATTGACGACGGTGTGCAATTTGGCCATGAAAGTCTGCAGGAGAAGATACAAGACGGGTGGAGTTTCGACGACGGCTATGATGGCGTTGATCTCCCCGGAGCGAGGCGGCCATTCCACGAATCCAGCACCGGACATGGCACTCTCATGGCCAACATGATCTGCCGCATCTGCCCGAATGCTAAGATTTTCGTTTGCCGGTTGAACGTATATCCTGGAGACGGTACCAAGTCCCTTTTTTCCGCGAAGAGCGCAGCCGATGTTAGTTCCCCGGACAGCATCGCCCCCAAAACTTTCCGAGTGTTATTAGCTGACACCGAATATAGGCCGCTGAATATTGCGCAACTCGAGGGTTTGACATCATTTCAATGTCATGGACAATCAAGAAATCCATATATACACCAGAAACCGCGAACGACTGGAAGGACCTTGAACGCCTAGAAAAAGCCTTGGACGAGGCGTGCAAGAATGGTGCTCTTCTGTTTTGCTCTGCGCCGGACGAAGGTGGCATATCGGATGAGAAGTTCCGTACTTATTATCCTGTAGGATGTGACTCGTTATCCAGTCGCATCTTCAAAATCGGAGCGGCTACCTCTGCCAACAAGGAAGCGGACCGCACGGGCAAGTCCTCGCAACTCGACTTCATCCTTCCCGGACATGAGGTCAGAGAGAGGGGAAGCGATGCGATCAAGGTTGACGACAGCCTCAAGAGCGGATCATCGGTAGCAACGGCGTTGGCGGCAGGACTCGCAGCGCTCGTCATCCACTGTGTTCGCCTCGGCGCCATCGAAACCATTCGCGCACGAACCACTAGACGCAATAGCGAAGCGAGAAAGGTCGAAGGTGAGGCCTCGAGCGAAGACGGCGCCAAGTCCGAGGAGAACACCAACGAGGACCTGATGACGGCGTTGGAGGCGGTACCGATCAAATCGGAAGACTTTGCTGATATCAAAAAGTTTGAGCACATGATGCGCGTTTTCGCGAGCATTCCACGACAGAGGAAGACGGGGGAGACTTGGAAATACTTGGAGGTGGACAATACTTTTGAAGGGCCGGGAAAGACACTGGTCAACAAAGAAGTGAACGAGAGCCAGAAAATACTGGCTGTGACCAAGCTTGCCATGAACTTTGTGAGCTCCGGCTTGTCGAAGTTGTGAGGTATAGTTTGTCTGGTCGGGTTCATTTCACGATGGACTTCCCATACAAAAACTTGTATGCATGGTTGTTTATAAAGGCAAGGAATCCGAAGATGCTTTACAGTCGACGAGGAAGCTCTCTTGGTGTTCAGTTTCCAGCCTCGGCACACCTAATCAACAATATCAAGACCAGAAATGCCAAGCCCACCGGCGCCTTAGCTCCTCCACACGTGAACCTCCGCTGGCCACGCGTTTGGTGCTTTAGCGTGTTTATTTCGCCAAGCCGGAAACACTCGAAGTCCTTTAAATCGACTTCTACCCCGCCCCAAGTGCCCGCCCCAGACTTTCCGACCACCTTCACACCCCTCCCCCACCTCTTCCCGTCTCAACAGGTGTCAGCTAGTTTGCTCTTCTTCACCAACTCTCTTCACCCAGATCTGTTTGCTGTTTCTCTCCCCCCTTTCGTCCTTGCCCTATTTCCCATATATACTCCTCCCTTGCTACCCCTCTGCCCTTCCGTGTCGGAATCCAGTTGTCAGAGCACACTTCCCGAGGCATCGATTGACTTGACGTGATGGATCCCCCAATACATAAGACACAAAATTCCTCGAGAGATTCGCAGCTATCCGACGCATCGAACCCCACGGCTGGAGCCCTTGCCGAAGCTGGGCAGTGGTTGGGATTGGTTGATTGTCGATTCGGTCTCGATCTCACTCATGGTGGTTTGGAGTCGATGTCCTGCGGAAGAAGAAACAGCCAATACCACACTGGGCAAGAAGAAGGATACAACTGCATCTCTCCACGATTTGTGAAGAAAAAGGAGTAAGGCTTTTCTCCGCATGGAGCCCCTCAGCGCACACGGATTTTCTGCCTCGTGATATCCTGCCTTGTTCGGTGGGTGGAGGCGATCTTCTGTGGCTCGCGGGTGGTGTGACTCGCTGAGTACCCCAGAAAGGCCTGGGCCAGTTTGATAGTGACAGATTGTGCCTGCGGTTCTTCGCAAGAACTTCTTATGAAGAACCGTTGCGAGCTTCACAACGCCCGCCGCTATGTGGAGGTTGCTTGCCTCTCCGTAAGTATCCCCTGGACATGCAAACAGTCGTTGGCCAGGCTGGCAGATGTGGTTGTGCCGTCTTTTGCTCTCAAGCGAGGTCGGGAATCGCATTCATCAGGTGTGTCCGTTGCACATGATGGGCCTGTGAGCCAAGAGAGGCACGCTGGCTGTTACATGCAGGCCGGCCGATGAGGCGGACGAAGGGGATTACCTGGACCCCTTACCGCACTCGTTAGCTCGCCTGCTGGTGACGGCTTGACGGCGGTTGATGTGATCCTTTTGGCTCGCAGGTGATTGCCCAGCAAGCGTGTCTAGTGCCACAGGTCTTGCCACACCCTTCCACGACGGATTATTATTATAATGTGGATCTACGAACCAAAGGCACCTGGAGTATTGACCCCTCTACCCCTCTGGCCACCGTTTACTGGCCCGTCAAGGAATCTCCAGGAACCATGGAATACCAAGGAAACCTCTTGCTCTGGCGCCTGTCCGTCCGGAAAAGGAATTTTTTTCGGAACCACGAGGACGTGCAAAACCGACTGGAGCCACTCATGAGCTGGAGATACAGCAAGGAGCACAATCGGCATGATATACATTTTTCCTGTGCACGGCAACTCTTCTGGACGGACTTCAGATTTCCACATATCTGAGATTTTCGGTTATCGCAAACCCGAGACAATCAGGCTAATTTTTTGGCTGGAAGATGTTCCGCGGATGAGGACGAATACTGGTCCAATACAGGATGGCAACGAATTTCTATTCTCTTGGAAAGGACTGAAAGAGGCGAAGAACCTTCCGTCGATCGCAGTCTTAAAAGATTATTTGGAAACTCGACCCACAAGTCTTTGACGAGGGCCGGTGAAATTTTTTTCCATTATCGAGCTGCCGCACAGAAAGCACCCCAGAGTGGAATATATCTCTGGACTACCTGTCTTCTGCTCCAGGGTGTAGAGGCAGTGAATCCATTCAGGCGCCATGAGCCTGATCAGCCATGTGCTTGGCCATTCCCCAAAACACGTGAGAGCGATCCGCTCTACTTTACAACCTGGATCAATCCCTACGACGTGATCACGTAGAGGGCAAGACAAAGCTCAAGTGATCAGTAACGACCAAAAAGGGCGAACGTCGATAATCCGGGACAAAAGCTTGTCGATGTGCAATCTCCTCACTTGGAATTCTGATTACGACCATAATGAAACCCCACAAAAAACCTGGGACGTAAAACAATTCAGCCATACGCAGACCTCGTCAATGCGTTTGCCTCGTTCATCATCGAGCACGGTCAACTTTCAAGACCCTACAAACTGCAAACAAAACTGGTCCATCTCAGAGCGGACATTCTCGAACGAACGTGGTCCAAATCCCGTTGGATCTGAGGCATATCTTTGAAGAGGGCACAGAGGGAACGAATTCCTGTATGAGGTCCGGTCCGGTCAGGACCGGTCCGATCACGAAGCTACCAAACCATTTCTTCTGAGGCATACACCCACTCATCAGTCAGTGGTCACCATTTCTGTGGGGTGCAATCTTTCAAGTGAGATATCATTGGAGGCTATGAAATGGATTGAACACAGCAATTGCGAGGGAATAAAGAATATGCAACATGACATGATTCTGGCGAAAGGATCTCCAACATCTATCTTATATCCTGACGGAGATTTTCAATACATGGATGGTTCAACTTCATTCGTGTGAGTATGTGTGTGTGACTGTGCGAGTCTCATGTTGAGTATATGTACGGACCGAAGACAGAAACGAGACGATGGACCACGGAAATCAGCACGCAGCACCCAACACGAAACACAAAACACCGAGCACTCAAAAAGACGCAACCCCGAACAGACAGACATATGGCCCAACTCATGACTTTTGCTTGCAAAAAAAAAACCCACCTCCACGACCACTGCGCTGCCCACAAGCGACCTACCATCCTAACCTACCTATCTCTCTCCTATCTTCGACACCATGCGTGCGGAAAAGTGCCGCGCTGCGCTTTACACCGGTCCCGTCCCGTTACGGACAGGACTGCGTGAAAAGCCGAGGCCTCATTTTACTCTAATATTTCCACACCGCGGTGTCGGAGGGAAGGAGTCAGACAGGCGGAGCTAGTTGGGCGTGCGTCCGTGCGTCAGAAGAAGGGATAAAATGCAGCCAAAAAGGAAATATCATATCCACGTTTCAATCCCGCGATGAAATGAAAAGGGGCCGCAGGAAAGGCAGCGCGTGTTTTTGTTCCTTGGTGGTTCTGCATCGCTGCGTTGTGTGTTCAGAGTTCAGTGTGCCGTGTACTGGTGCACTGTGTGCTGTGTTTCCAATGTCCAACTCGGATCAAGAAGAACAGCCAGCCAGCCAGCCAGCCAGCGGGGTCAGGCCGATTCCTGGTCCCTTAACCTGGTTTTCTTGTTGTTTTTTTCTTTAAGAAGAAAAAAAAAAAAACAAATAGAAAAACCTTTTTCATCGTGGGGGTCAAACAAAAAGTTTGCACCATTTCTTGCTTGAGGCAAGACCATGGGGAAGAAGATGGTCACACACACACACACACACACACACACACACACAGACCCCAATTCCCGCGCCGTATCTCGTTGTCATGTTTCTCTTTGCGTTTGGGAGTGTACAGAGAAAAGAGAACTACGAGGAACACGTTTCAAGGAGGCAGAAGACCGATGGTGGCAGAAGGCTGGCGATGCAGCAAAGAGAGTGACACAAAATTTGATTCTACTGCTCCAGACAATTCTATTGTGACGACGTTTGCTGCAAATTGACCATCTCATAGAATTTGGACGGTCCCCTTTTCTCATCTCTTCTTCCGTCATATCATGCATAAATACCAATACCCATACCCGGATCCTGCCATACAACTCTGTCTATTCCTTTGACCATCGGTCCAACCCGTCTCTTATGCGCCAAGAACGTCCCCTATGCAAAAGCTCCATGTTGCATATTCCTGCCACTTCGGTTCCTCACGAGAGCAAAGGTCTTCTGCATGCACTGTCTCTTCCACCAATCCTTGACTCGGCTGAGCACTTTCCGCTTCTTGTACGCAAAATCGGACATTGGAACCGTATCTCCCAAATCTGGATGTGGATACTCGAACGAATGCTGTGTTTTTATATGGCACGACTGGCTGAGTCTCAGTGTACTGGTTTCCTGTTGGGTAGAGCTATGTCGTGTTCCCAGCAGTCCTGTGGACTTTGTGAATCCACTGCGAAGGCTGTGCAGGTCAAATTTCTTTCTGATGGTAGAAGGCTGTTTCTGCGCCATTGCAGCCGAGCTGTCGTCAGAGAAGAAGCTTTGGACTTCTCGGAGAGGCGGCCTATACAGCGCCTGAGGTTGGTCCGGGAACCGAAGGCTGAGATTCAGTTCTGAAGAAGTGAGCGGCGGCCCTAATTCAGGAGGTGCTAGCTGGGGCACCGATCCCAAGCGGGGAATCTGAGAACTGTACCGTGTACTGTTCAAAGGCTCGATGACGCTAGTATTGCTTCGGTGCGAATGGACAGTCCTGACTGATGCTTTTCGAACAATTTCAATGCCTTTCTTGACAGGGTCCGGCATCGCCGCCAGCATACTGGTCCATCTCCGAGGCATAGGCGTCGGCACAAGAATACTACCTGCAGAGACCGTCGTTGGAGGCAGTACTGCCACTGAATCTGCACTCAATTCGGCGTAGCCAGCGACTGGCGAGGTCTCGCTCATCTTTTCGGGCGAATCATCAGTTACCCATTCTTCATCTCGCCCAACGACCTCCAGCAACTGTCCCGTTTGTTCGAGGACTCCCAATTGCCCAAGACTCTGGGATTTCCTCCGGCTCTTCATCAGAATTCGTGCTCGCCGTCTTTGATGCGATGCTTGTCTTGCGAGCGTGTCGCTTTTTGACCTGCGATGAGTATGTAGCGCTCCTTGAGTCGGCAATTCGCCAGTTACCTCTGGGCTGAGACTCAGCTCCGACAATCTTCGGACCTTGAATTTCGTCTGTGGTGGGTCCGAGTCAATGTCGGCCATGTCTCCAGAAGTCAGTGAAAATTTTGCGTTGGATCGGGTAGACTTCGTCGACTCTGAGGTCAAGAGTCCGCTGGTTGACTGGAGTGTCTGCCACCCAGATGAATGATCCCGAAATCCGGAGCTCACAGAAGACAAAATGAATCTAGAATTGACTTGATCTTCTAGAATGGCTCCAGGAGAAAGTCTGGCATCCATACTGGCAAACAGACGCCGGGGAATGAGTCGACGCCTTTCCGAACTGGCGAGGCTGGAGTGTCGAATAGTTGAGCTCGAGGTCGTCGGTCTCAAGTTGCATGAAGACAAAAACCGCGGCATACTGGACGTTGCTCGGATGGTGCTCTCCACGCTACTATTCACTGCCGCCTCTGAATGCTCAGGGGGACTGTGTGTTTGGAGATGTGGTGCATCGTCGCAGTCGGTCCCGTCGTCATTCAGTCCTAGACATTCAATATGTCTATCGAGAAGGGACTCGATGGTGGACCTTTCATGCATGGTAATCTGACTGCCGTCTGCGTTAGTGCTGGGGAGTGCTTGCTCAGTCGCCATTTTCTCCCACTGGCTCTGCTCCTCGACAGCTCCTAACTTTGGCCTATCTCGCAGTTGGGGTGACAGAACTCTTTCGAGGAACTGCAAGTCTGGATGCTCTTCAACGGCATCCAGCCGAGAGAAGGTCTGAACAAAATGAGCCGGTTTTCCCTGGTCAGGCACATAACTATCAGAAATTTCCAGAATGCGACTGAATCGCTTCCTACTCTGCGATGACATTGGCCGCTCGGGCATTGGCGACAAGATCTCGGGGTGATCTTTCGAACGAATGTCGCCAGATGTCTTTGGTCGTTCCTTTAACCCAGACGAGTAAGAACCGAAGGACAGTGGTCTAAAATTAAATGAAGGTAATTCCCACTGAGAGTGAGCCCGTTGAACGCCACGGAATGCTGGTTGGTAGCTTTCGTCACAATGCGGATCTCCATATTCCATCAACCTAGATATGGAAGGCTTGTGGTCAAATACAGGCGAATGGACTCGGGCAGCAAGAGTTGTAAGATCACGCGGGCTTCGACTTGTATTTGGAAAGAATGCACTCGAGTGACTTGAGCCACACGTTCGACGTGAGGTGGTCGACGTCTGCGAATTATCTTTTTCGTCTTTCGATCGTCGATCGAGGTGGTCCTGCTCGGAAGGAGGAAGTCTCTCAATCACCTGGTGGTTACTCTGTTAGCACGCAAACGACAACGGAGATGTCTTGAACAACGTCAAAACTTTTTGAACTTCTAACCTTTTTATTTCCAGAAAGAGACCTCATCGGTGGTGCGGTGGTGGCCCCAAGGCTTGACTTCCGGGGTGGAATCATGCCAACGAAGCTATACTTGGACTGCTTTGACTGCTCGCTCACTCGGCGGTTATGCGCGGTCGGCAGCTCCAATGGATGAAAGGCTGAGCCAGGGACTGTGCCGAAAGGTGATTGAGCTTGGCGTCGTTCTGGTGCGGGGAGGTTGTCTAGGATTGTCTGGTCCATATTGAAGGGCAAATTGGCGGCAGAGGTGTCGTCGGGAGGAGAGAAACAATCCTCCTCGAGAAATGATTCAGAGTAGTCGTAGTAGTGAGGTGTCGTAGACTCAGTTGGAGACTTCGGTAGACCTCGAGACGAGGCAGCGCTGTGATTCCAGACTGGCCGGAAACTCTGGAGAGAATTGGACATGGGAGTAGTGGTCCTTTGATAGGGATGACCAGCAAACTCATTGAGAGAGGAGATTGCTGGCGACGGCAAACGAACGAAGGAAGAGGTGGAATTATTCAGGTCGGTAGGATATACAGGTGGGCCAGGACGCAAACGATACGCAGAGATGGGGGAGGATGCAACCGTTCCGACACTTCCCACTCTTGGATAGCCATGTCTTGCACCATGCCTGTAGGGATATGCCTCACTGAGGGCAGGAGAGGAAGCCCGATAACCGGTCCGGCGTCTGTGGCCAGAAGTGATCAGGGGGGAACTCGAATGCAGGCTGTGAAAGTCACGGTGACTGCGGAGAGTGATCAGCGACCTATGCGAGTGAAGTGGACGAGCAGGGACGCCGGGACCAGTGAGGTGTTGTTGGGATCTATGCCGTGGACCAGCTCTCTTGGAGCGGAACTCTGAGTGAAGAGATGTCTGGGCAGAATGAATAGTCTCTCGTCCTGATAAGGCCGAAGATGATGGAACCTGCCGAGGCCCATGGTGGCGGCGGTGAGACTGTCGTCGTGGTGGTCGTTGGTACTCGAGGTGAGGGTTGAACGAGGTATCGAAGGAACCAGCACGGCGTTTAGATGACTGCAAGCGGGAACTGGAACGAGGTATCCGTGAAGGCCGAACAGCGAATTGGCCACAGTCTCCCAATTCAGTCGTGTTTCTCAGCATGCTTTGCACGGCACCGGAGCGAAGTGAGGCCATGGACGTCGTTGGTTGCAGGTCATCCTGTGTGGCGCCATTGTGGGAGACATCTTTCTGGATGTTGGGACTGATCTCTTCAAGTGGCATCGCGAGCCAACGTTTCGCATATCTGTACAAGTTATAGGCGCTATATGCTGAAAGAGGATAGATGAGGCCAGACGGTGATGTAAGTAGGAGTGAGCCAGAGTAGACAGACGAGTGAAGAGGGGCGTTCAGGACGTAGAGGAGCTTGTTATGCCGAGAAGAGTGGCATGATGAACTTCATCCAGAAGATGAGACTTGGTTGATGATGAGGAGGTGAAGAGAAGGTGAAGAGAAGGTGAAGATGAAGGTCCCAGAGGAGCATGTGCCTTGGGAAGGTGCACCTTGTAACCTGCAAAGTGAAACCGCGTTGAGGCCTGGGAAGGGACGCGTTCGACAACATGGCAGGCACATGGCAGCAGATGGAAGAGCCTCGTCGCGCCATCCTATACTGCCATGGTAGGAGTGTTCAGCTCATTGCTTTCATCATTGACTCAAACCTCCCGTAACTTGTTCCTTCAGGTAGGCATCATGCTAATCTTTCCTACTCCACCACCACCACCTCCTCCACCGCGGTTACGGGTGGAAGAGGCTTCTTTGCTGTTCTTATACACAAATTCCTGCAGACCTGAATTGCTGGTACTTGACCGTGCACTGACACTACTCTTGACCTTTCTTGTAACACCACCGCTGCCTCTCTTCCCCTTCGTCACCGCTGTCCTTCCCCTCGAGCTTCCGCTACCACGGTGCTGAGGGCCACGTGAGGCACGGCGATTCCAGGGCACGGATTTAGGATGAGAGTTGCGCTTTTTAGACGCAGCCTTTTGGGGTCGGGCCTCGAATGCAGACGCCTGTGAAACTGCAATCTGTTAGTAGCTGGTAGCAGCTAGCTGACAGCTCTCAACTTACGTTTCTCGTTGAAGTGGCTCACATCGTCAGCCACACTGAAGTAGTGACTACTCTCGCTTTCATCGAGATCTTCATCACTTTCCGTCACCCGATCCGCATCCTCATCGTCACTGATCTCCACAATTGATGGGTCAAAAGGTCCATCTACATCTTCCCCTCTGGCCTCTTTCATCGCCTTGTAGTCATTATATGCACTTCTGGCCAGCCGCAACAGGACAGGCCCAAACATCTGGAACGTTTCTGGGTTCATTCTGCAAATATTTCGAAGCGCGGCCTCATCTTGCGGAAACTGAGTGGCGATCTCTCGAAGTACAAGATCGGATATTGAGGTCTGCCGTAAACCTTTCGTGATTTGAATCCGCTTGATTTCCTTCTTTGCATTATCAACAAAGTCATTCAGGATATGTTGGTGAACCTCGTCAAGCCCTCCCGTCCTGTCATCTGTAGTAATTGGAGGTCCGACTTTTGTATTCCTCTTGGACCGTGTCCCGCCAACAGCGGGGACTGGGTCAAAAAAGAAGTCGGCATCTTCTTCGACTTCGTCGACAAAATCTTCGTCGGTATCCTCATCAAACTGTGCGCGAGGAGGGATCTTGCGAGATCTAGGCTGCAACGGCGAAGAAACGTTCGTGGACACAGGATAGTCGTCAGCAGCGGCTTTGACTCCTGTCCGTTGTGTTTTCTTCTTGGCCTTCGAGCCGCCGGCTTTGGTTTTTGACCTATCTCTCGGCGAGACCAAGACTTGCAAACTCAATGTTCCTCGACCAGTCTCGAATTCGGAGGCTCGGGGTCCTGGCTTCACATATTGCGTAGCGAAGCCTGCATTATTGACCTTGTTATACTCCACCAAAGCATCCTCACTAATGAGCCGGTAGAATAATCTCTCGACGTCCCCTCTTACCAAATCTGCCCCGAGCCCGTATTCGCGAAGGTTGTTGTGGTGGAGGTCGGCGATCTTCTTGTTTTTACCGCCTCGATAGACATCGACACAATGTAACAGGGTAACTTGCTCTCGAGACACTTGCTGGACGATACGAATTGCATTTCTGGCATGCTCTGAAAAGTCTTGCGTTTCGAAGGAGCTAGTTGAGTTACAATTGTCACAGGTATTGTTGCAGTCTTCTCGCTTGAAGTGTTCATTGAAATATCCGAGCACTTGCTGTCTGCGGCAATCGCTGCGATTCTCGCAGAACTGGACGACGTTTCGCAACAAGTGCTTCTGCCTCTCCTTTTGCTGCCAATCACCATCGCCCTTCTCGATCATCCGCTTTATGGAGGTCGTGTCTCCGTAGCCATAGAAGAGATAGCACCCAGCTCTGCCTCCGTCTCGCCCGGCTCGACCTGTCTCCTGGTAGTAACCTTCGAGACTCTTGGGAATGGTGTGGTGGATGACAAATCGGACATCTGCCTTGTCAATACCCATGCCGAATGCAATCGTAGCGACGATGACTTTGTAGACGCCAGCTTGCCACTCTTTCTGGATATGAATTCGCTCTGGAGCTTCCAGTCCAGCATGGTAGTGGCGGGCTTGAATACCATATTCGTCCTGGAGTTGCTTCGCAACATCTTCACAAGCTTTGCGTGATAGGCAATAGATGATTCCTGCTTGGCCCTTATAAGACTCCTGGATGAGAGAGGCAATACTTGTAAGAACGGCTTGCTTGCTGCCTTTGGGTCTCACCTCATACGTGAGATTGGGTCTGTTGAAGCTCTGCGTAAAAACCTCAGCGCCGTCCATACCGAGGTTATGCATACAATCCACTTTCACGTTTTCGGTTGCAGTGGCGGTCAGGGCCATCACTGGCACATCCATGAAACGCCGACGAACTTCACCCACTGCCTTGTAGTCGGGGCGAAAATCATGTCCCCACTGGCTGACGCAGTGTGCCTCGTCAATCACAATGCGTGCAAGGCGTCTCCTCCTGTTCAAATCCAGAAAGACCTTGAAGAATGTCTCGCTTTTGTTGAGCATCTCGGGCGTGACATAAAGAAGCTGAACAAACTTTTCTGGCTCGTTAGATCGTAGCGCTTCGAGGATATAGTTTCTATGTTCTTGCGAGGTCTGGCCGTTGACCAGTACAGCTTGAATGTGCAATTTCTGCAAATGATCCACTTGATCCTGCATCAAGCTGAGCAATGGAGAGACGACGATAGTCACACCTGCAGTCCGCCCGCTTTGCACCACGGCTGGCAACTGATAGCAAAGAGACTTGCCTCCGCCAGTAGGCATCAGCACAAAGGCATCCTTGCCACTCAAAGTCGCGTTAATGGCTTCCAATTGATTGTGACGAAACTCGTGGAGATGAAATTTCTTCCTCAGAGTTGAGTGCACTTCTTTCGACCATGGATGCTGCATCAGAGCTGCTGGTGGAGGGCGAGACGTGGATGATGCGGATGCAGGTTTTTGGGGTGATACCCTGCGAATGTTGTCACTCACTTCACGCAGTGCAGACCGTCCACTTCGGACAGGAGACGGAGCTGCTATTGGCGGTAGATTTTGTTCATACTGTTCTGCTGCCTTGTACATTTCTTCGTCATCCAAACCATCCTCGAAGTCTTCATCATCGAATGAGAAGTCACGAGCTGGACTACCCATTGTTCTTGAAAAGTCGCCTTCGCCAGCCTTCGCACCCACACTGGCGAGCACACGACTCGAGCCAGGAATATTGAAGGCATGAGGTGTGGGAGAGATAAGCCTAGCGTCAGCCGACACTTGAGCCCTCTTGGGAGATTCACGATAGGGAGAAGGGCTTCGGTTGGACGACTTGATAGCCATGTCAACTGCATCGTATTTGTACAAGGATGGAGTTTGACGAATTGATTGCGTCGAGAGATGAGAGAGACCTTGCGGAGTCTCACTCTTCATATTCTTCGACGTCGAGTGAGGCGGCTTTTGAGTCGAGGCAACCAGGACCCTCTGATCCGAGAGCTTTGAGCCTGGAGACAACAAACGGCTCCGGTCTGATGTTGGATGATCTCTCATTCTGCTGGAGGTCGACACTCCCACCTGTTCCAAAAGGTTGAAGATTGCGAGTTCTCGGGCGTCGATTTCGCGTTTCGCCCTGAAAATCTTATTGCATAGCGAAGTCAAGACATCCTCGGGATCATCAGGCTCAATAATATGACCCGCTTTACGAAGTTCTTCTCGCTGGTCAAGCATTTGTTCCCGTTGATTTCGGAGTTTGAACAGAGTGGCAGATTCTTCCTGAAGTCGCGTTGCTGCATTGATCTTGTTTGCTATCGCCTTTTGGCGATCTTTCAGGTGGCTAGAAGCAGCGCCCCGTTCGCACATCTCCTCCAGGATTTGTCTGCCGACAACTTCCTTCGAGTCCTCCAGCCGCTGCACGAGACTTTGTAGCTGGTCTTTTCCGTTCATAACGAAGCTATCAATCAATGTTTTCTGTTCCAATGTCAAGTCGCCAGTAATGGTTGGTGTCGGAGTGCAGTTAATCGATCCAAATTCCACATTCGACGTCGTCTGCGGCGTCGATTTAGGTCTCATTCGGACGGCATCCACCGGTCCAGGCGATGCATGGACCGAGAGTTGTTGAGATCGAACTGGAGAGCGGGAAGCTGTCTCTGAACCTTGTTCTTTTACCGTAAACCCGAGTAAGCCTGGACCAGACACATCCTTGGAGAAAGCATCGCCAAAAGAATCTGTTTCAAACTTTTGAGCAGGAGTTACATCTTCGTCATCGTCCGAATCAGGAATGATGTTTAGCGATCGCTGCATTCGAGCTTTCAGAGGACGTGTTGAAGGTTGTGCCTGTTGGGCGTTTACTGTTGTATTCCTTTGGTAACCTTGACCTCCGTCAATTGCTTTGGTCCCACGATTCAATAAGGTGTCTGAGTCGGGAGCCGTGCTTCCGCTTCGAGTGCTTGTTTGAGTCAGGCTGATTTCTCCCTTAAGGTGTTTTCCGTTGACGCTGGTTTGGCTTCCGCGGACCGGAGAGGTTGTCGTCGTTGTGCGGTGCTGGAGTATCTTCGTTGACCTTCGACTTGACTGCGGAGAGAGCAGATCCGACTCGTATTCATCGCTTTTCCTCTTCTTCCCTTTTTTCTTTGGCGATGGCTCTACGCGAGAAGCAGACCTTTCGTTCCATAGCTGAGTTGGGGGCCCGAATTCGCCAAAGGAAGAAGTCGTGGCGTCGCCGGTTAAATCAATTTCGTCGATGTCGAGGATGTCAATGGAATCGTCAAATTTTATGTCATCAAAGCTCGTCACTGGCGTACGCGGCTTCGAAATCTGCCGGGATATAGAAGGCGTTTCATACTTCTTCGGGCGGCCGGATTGCAGCTTGTTGTCTTCTGAGGGTCGAGATGGAGTTGGGGTCGGAAGTGGGTTGGGCTCGCGTTGCAATTGAGTATGCAGTCTTGGTCGTGGAGGGATCTGTGGTGCCAGCTGCAGTCTTGCCATGTCCTCGTCCGTGTCTGCTGCCTCCGACCCATCGTACAATATGCTGGCAGTATCAGCAATAACAGATATGTGCTCCAACGATCCAAAAGAGGGTGGGTGCTGCAAGAGCCATGAGAGGGAGCTGCTGAGATTATTCTTGGTCATAGGTCCGTCTCATCTTGCTGTATCTCAGAACACTTCTGCAGATACAGTGGTCTATTAAAGGGTGGACTTTGGAATAGTTGTGTTCGCCTGCGCCAGTCGAGTTTGGAGGATGCCAAAGTCCCCGCCAAAGACGCGTTGAGACTGCTGGGTGCAGTGGGCGCGGTACGCGGCATCAGTGGTGGGACTGGGTGACTAATCTGCCAAGAGACACCAAGGCACGTGATCCAAATTTGCATACGAGGGTGGCACACATGGCTTGTTTCCGCTTCTCAACCACTACAAGGTACAACCGTTAGTCACCCAAAAAGTACTCGGTAAACAAAGGTGCCAACGTCCTTGACGAACGCGTCGCTCCCAGTAGACTTGGAAGAGTCAGTTCTGCTTCTCATGCCAGGACCACCTTTTCTTGGGTGTGAGAGTGCCTCTTAAACCGATCACTTCCTTGCATGCGCCACCATGGCCAAGGGTAAGAAACCTAAGTCGGCAGACCAAAAGGCCCGCACGGCAGCGAAGCAAATGAAGAAGGCCGCGAAAGGCGAGAAAAAGAAAAGCGCCAAAGCAGCGGCTTTGAACGCCGATTCGGACGGTGACGACGATGGTGATCTTGATGCTATGCTAGCTGCTTACGCTGAAGAGCAGGCCAAGTACCTCAAGGTCACAGAGCAGCCTTGTGACCCTCCTGGCCCGAGGTCGTCCAGCACCATAGTCGCCTCGCCCTCCAACAGAAACGAGCTGTTCGTTTTTGGTGGCGAGTACCATGATGGGAGCACCGCCTCCTTCTACAATGACCTATTCGTATACCTCATCGATAAAGGTGAGTGGCACCAGATAGTCTCAGGAAACAGCCCCTTGCCCCGGAGCGGGCATGCTGCCTGTCGAGGCGGTAACACTGGTGGCATTTACGTCTCTGGGGGTGAATTTTCCTCCCCGAAGCAGAACCAATTTTATCACTATCACGACTTTTGGCATTTGGACACTGAAACAAGAGAGTGGATCAAGCTCGAACCACGGGGAAAAGGCAAAAGCCCACCTGCTAGAAGCGGTCACCGGATGACATATTTCAAGAACTATATTGTGCTCTTCGGCGGTTTTCAAGACACGTCACAGCAAACAAAGTACCTCAATGACACATGGATTTATGACTGCAAGGAGAATACGTGGCATGAGATGAAACTACAACCGGCAGCCCAAAGACCCGACCCTCGTTCCTCGTTCAGTTTGCTGCCCCACGAATCTGGCGCTGTTTTGTACGGAGGCTACTCTCGTGTGAAGACAACCACAGGTGCTGGAGCTGGCGGGAAGCAAGCTGGCAAAGGGAGCAGCGGTTCAGCCCCAGTGCGCAATATCCTCAAACCTCTTGTGCACCAAGATACATGGTTCCTCCGCATCACGCCGCCAGCCTCAGATGCCCCAAGCGGTACCCCTCCAGCACTCCGCTGGGAACGTCGGAAACGGCCGGCCAATGCACCAAACCCACCTCGGGCAGGTGTAACCATGTCCTTCCATAAAGGGCGCGGGATCTTGTTCGGAGGCGTGCACGATGTCGAAGACAGCGAAGAAGGCATTGACAGCGAGTTTTTCAACGAGCTGTTTATCTGGAACATTGATCGAAATCGATTCTTCCCACTGTCCCTGAGAAGGCCGAAGGCCGGCGGTCCCAAAAAGCAACTCCAGAACGCAGCCCGAGGAGGTCGGGCTCGAGGCAAAGCGGACGAGGAAGAACTCCTGCGCAACCTCGCGGCTCTCGAGACCAAGGGCACGATATCGGCCGCCGAGGGTATCGAGCTTGATATAAAGGACGAGGAAGAGCCTGAACCCGAGCCTCCGAAACGTGTCTATCCCGTGCGGTTCGAGATGCCCCATCCTCGCTTCAACGCGCAGCTTGCCGTACAGGACGACACGCTGTATATCTTTGGAGGCACCTTGGAGAAGAAAGACGTCGAAATCACGTTCTCTGACCTCTACGCCATTGACCTGGGCAAGCTCGACGGTGTGAAAGAACTGCACTACGTCGAACCGACCAATTGGAACGTGACTATCCAAGAAGATAGCGACGAGGAGATGGATGATGATGATGACGACGACGACGATGATGACCTCGAAGGCGGGGACGATGAGATGGAAGACATGGACACGGACGAAGACCTCGAAAGTAGAACGGACACCATGTCCATCGACACGCGGCCCTCCATCTCCACAGCCCAAACGACACCCATGTTACGGCCGACCGAACTCGAGACCGAACCCGAGATCCTTGCGTCGCAGGACCCCCGCCCCTTCCCACGCCCGTTCGAGTCTCGCCGAGACTTCTACACCCGCACCTCGGAAGACTGGCAGCGCTTGCTCATCGAGAATCAGTCGTACGGGGGCAGAGCTGAGATGGCGGCGTTGGCGGCAGAGCAGACGATCAAGGAGTTGAGGAAGAAGGCATTCGAACAGGCAGAGGAGAGGTGGTGGGATTGTCGCGAGGAGGTGGCGAGATTGGAGGACGAGCAGGAAGAGGCGGGCATTGGCGAGATTGTCAGCATGGAAGGTCGGAGTGCTGACGCGGGCGCGGGCAGGAGACGTTAAGAACAGGAGGACCACAAGACATTTATGCGAGCCAGCAGGGGGGAAAGACCCATTGATAGGAACCAATTGACGGTGGGAAACAAAACCAGTAGCTATTCCACTTTTCCTTTCCCTTGCAATCGATCCTTCACTCGTACAATCATTCCCTGTACCGCACCCCTTGCCCGTTTCACAAGGCCCGGTATTTTGCCCTGTCCAACCTCGTCAGCGCCAACGAATCTCCTGACCAACAAGTTGTAAATGCTCCCAAACGCCAATGCCATAACCGTACTCGTCAATATGATCACATTATATGGCATGGAAAAATCGGGTGTTGGCAATGGCAATAACAAGCTTGTCGTTCTAATATACACATCCCTAGCATTTCCCGTGACTGGGTCGATGAGTTCTGGTGAAAGAATTCGAATTACCGCGGGAGGAATGTTAAATCCACGATTTGCGTCGGGCGGGTATTCTGTATACCGAAGAATGGACTTTTCAAAGGCATAAGTTAGAGAGACGGTGGTGAGGGGTGGCACGTTGAGCAGAAGTTCAAGTTGTGTGCCGCGGTGTCGGTCGATCGCAGGTTGGTAATACATGTCCATAATGATTTTTTCTTCGTCAGGTCGGGAAGAGTCGAAAGGGGTTGAGGATGAATGCGTAATCCGTGCCTTAAGAGTGTGCATGTAGGGGCGCATGAACCAGGGTAGACTCTCAAAGTAGACGAATTGGACGGGCTCAGTCGAGGACGGGTTTGTAATGATAGTGCGCATGCCTCCGTGAGCAGCACCATGGCCAGTCATGGTTCTTTCTGCTCGGAGAAGTTCATGGCCCAAGTCGTGCTTCCTGGTGGTAGATTGTTGTTGGGGCAATTCAAGATCAAATTCTTCGAATGGCATTATCGCATAACACCTTGATTCGGTAGGGCCAGGCTCAGATTTGACCTCAAACCCACTGTGACTAACCAGTACCATTCGATCATGCGGGACATTCAGGCACAAGGGTTTCGGATCAGGGCCTTCGTCGTCTGCCAGGGGGCAGGTCCCTGCCATCGTCCTCCCAAAGACATCCTTGAGAGACCATGACAGTTCATCCACCATGTCGCGAGGATAGCAAGTATCGTGTGAATGGTAAGGCTTAGACTCGTCGCAAACGAGCTGTTCAGGAGGGATTGGTCTCGGGATCGGATTATCTCGTGGTCGTTTGGATCGTTCAATATCGAGGACAATATCAATAGTCTGGCTGATTTCAATCTGGCATTCGGCAACCCCAGAAGAACATTTTGGCCGCACGTCTATGGCCATGCTCTGCCATGAAGCGTCGAAAACCTTGTGTCCATCCAGAAGGCTTGAAATCCCAGCCTTGCCCTTGCACGGCAGGAGTTTCAGGAAGGGCGTCAGATTCTCTGTGCACACCACTTCTCCAGGAAGGACTCCATGCAAAAGGTGAAGATTTTGGGTGCTGTTTTGAAATGTCCCAGAAGGTTGGAAAGACAAGACAGGTTTGGTGGTCCTGGTTGAATCAATGAAATTCAACGAGGCACAGAAAAGGCCTGAGAGCGATTGGGTCAAGGTTGTCCACTTTGCAAATGCATCTTCCTCCGAATCCGCATCAATCCATGCCCATAACTCCACCCCAGTTCCCCCTTCTTTGGTGCCATCCCAAGGACGCGCACCCCAAAGCTCCGGATCCCAGCGCCCGGTGGTGAACCTTAGATGTAATTCTTGTGTGTCGGCATGTCTGAGCGCCTGGCCCAGAGAACGGGGGAAGTATCTGAAGTTCTGGGATCCATAATCGAGGGCACTTTCGTTGCTGCGGAAGTCGAATGAAGCGAGGAGAGAACCGAGGGGTAAAGGAGTGAGAGTCAATCGCTCAGAGTAATCCGAGGCTGCGACGCTCAAAACCAGGAGCGCGACATTGAGGAGAAGAAATAGAAGCCGGGACATGCCGGCATCGTTATCAGCAATTTCTCATTCCGTTTGTGCTGAGATACACTGACAATAGTAGGGTCAAGTGCACAAAAAGGACACCGAGTCGCAGAGGAAAGTTGGACGTTACAAATTCTGCCGCAGTTCAGCCGATTCCTCCACCACTTCTTTCTCTCCATTTGCGGACTTGGGTCTGCACGTCGCAATGTTTCTCACAAAACAGACACCATAGAATTTGGACTCTATTGGATCGGACATTTCACCAGACACACACCGCAAAACCTACAGAGCCCATTAAGGTGTCAAACAATAACTCGCCATGGCGGCCGAGCAGCGCAAGCTGCTTGAGCAGCTGATGGGGGACCAGTTCATGGGAATGGGCTCTTCCTCCTCCAAATCGGCGAACCTCACCCTCACTTCGCCCAATGTTTGCCGTTCATATCTGGTCGGAACGTGCCCCCACGACCTCTTCACAAACACAAAGCAAGATCTCGGCCCTTGCCCGAAAGCTCATCCGGAGAACCTGAAGATGGAATATGACACCCTCTCGCAGGCAGAGAAACAGAAATACGGATTCGACTACGACTATATGAGAGATATGCAGAAATACATTGATGACTGCAATAGAAGGATTGACCAAGCGCAACGGCGGTTAGAGAAGACGCCCGATGAGATACGGCAGACGAACAACCTCCTCAAACTTATATCTGATCTGACCAAGACAATAAACACGGGTCTCCTCGAAGTCAGTTGTCTCGCAGAAATGGGGTCTGTCAGTCTGGCGTGCAGCGAATTCCACAAAGTCCGAACCGCAAAACTAGCCAAAGAACAAGCCGAGCGGGATCTGAAGTCGTTATCAGACACATCAGGTCCTTCAGGGCACCAAAAACTACAAGTGTGCGACGTCTGTGGCGCATATTTATCCAGACTAGATAATGACAGACGATTGGCCGACCATTTCTACGGGAAAATGCACCTGGGATATGCGCAGATGAGGCGGACGCATGAAACGTTACAGAAGGAACTGAAGGGACGAGGGCCACCACCAGCCAGGCCGCAGGAAGAGAACACGAGTGGGAGCCCCACTGGACCGAGAGGTTACGACGATGGAGGATATGGCGATGGTGGCGGATGGGGTAGAGGTGGTGGAGGATATGGTCGAGGAGGCGGCGGTGGCTACGGTAGGGGCGGCGGAGGATACCGCGGACGAGGAAGGGGTCGGTGGTAGAATCGCCGGTCCTCTCCATCTCCATTGCCTCCTCCGAAGAGCGAGGACGTGCCTCCAGGATTTGTGGTCATGAAACATGATTGCGACGCATAGCGGGTGGGAAAATCGGGGTTGGGATTGGGTGATCAACAAACAAGTATGGCGTCGCCGGACTGGGGAAGCACTTGTTACTACTACACTCGGCGTGGCGTTTGTCTCTTTCTGTCTCCTGTTGCATTATCAGCCTTGTTCTCACGATGGGCGAAAGATAACGGGAAACAGGGTGCGAGAGATGGCGGCAGGTGGGTAAGGAGGAGGAAAAGCACCGCCAAAAAGGCGACATGATACCCTGAAATGCATGCATCTTTTTTCTCCCTAAACCCTGAATCCTCTATTCACGTTCTGCTGTCCAGAAAGCATCAGGTCAATGCGAAGAGCGCGAATCGACAAGCCTGCATAGAACGGGGTATTGTGTGCATTTCTTGTATTGTATTCGTGAGGAATATATCTAGCGTAACATTCGCCAACTATACAATGGGCGCAATTCAGGTCAGTGGACAGCAAACAGCAGACAACGAACAGCTAACAGCACCCACAACGCACCAGGAGACGAGCCATCTCAAAACGCGGGACAGATATTCTGGGTCAACCGCTTCGATTCATGCTGACGCTGCCGCTCCTTGTCCTTCTGTCAATGTCACGGGTTACTTGCCCCTACCAGAGGTTCCTGGGCTTGCCCCGATTCTCTGCGCTGAGTTCGCTGGACTCGACCTGTTCGGCCCAGGATCCTCCTCCGCCGTCACCGCTCGCGCCACCTTCTCCTCCTCCTGCCAGATCGCCAGAGGTCCAGGCTGGGCCTGTATTCGTCCCTGCACCCGCACCCGAAGCTGATGCTGATGCGCCTGTTGATGCGCCTGTCGATGCGCCTGTCGATTCTCCGGTGGTAGGGTTAGAGCCGGGCAGGGAGGGAAAGTCCGTTTCGACAGACCAGCCTGGCTGTTGGTTATTGTCGCTGTTGTCGCCGTTATAGCCACCATATCCTCCTCTTCCTCTGGGATTCCCTCGACCTCTTCCTCGTGCGCCGCCTCTGCCGCCGGCTCGTCCCCTCCCTCGTCCCCGTCCCCGGTCTTCATGCCACTCGTACATCTTCAAGTCATCCTCCTCACCGGGACCTGATGGTGGTGGCGGTGGCGGTCCAGAGGAGTATCCCCCTCTTCTCCCCCCTCTCCCGTTGATCTGCTGCTCGTCCTTGTCCCGATCCCACTCCCTCCCCAGCTGGCCCGCCATCTTCCTCTGCCGGTTCTTCTCCCTCTCCCCTTCCATCACTCTCCGGTCCTTGGCGTCCCTCACCCGCCTCTCCTTCGCTTGTCGTTCTCTCGCCTCAAAGTTGGCGGCGTCCTCCTGCGCCCGCGCGTGCGCTGCCGCGAGGGACTGCGACCGTTCCTTCGCCGCGGCGAGTTTGGCCGTCAATTCTTCGTCGGAGAGTTTTGGAGGGCGTATCCCGCCCGTGGAGAGACGGTCGCCGCGCACCGCGGGGATGCGAGGTGCAGTGGTGTTTGACGGGCCGCTGGGTATGCCGGCGGCGGCCGATTCTGACGCTGGGTCTTCAGCCGGCGTCTGCTGAGCTGCCGGTTCAGAAGGTGTAGTGTTTGTTTCTGGGGTTTGTCGACCCCGTCTCCCCTGGGGCCGTGTAGACTTGGTATCTTTTCCCGCTGGTGGTGGTGGTGGTAGTGTCGGTGCAGCTGCCCACTTGGAGTCCTCCAACCCGACAGCAGGTTTCCTACTTGCGCTTTCTCCCCGTCCAGGGCCATGGCCACCCCTCCCCCTCTGCTTGGGCTTGAACCCTGGGAATGACGGTTCAGTCGGCGTCGGTGGCTTCACCGTTGCAGGTTCGGCCGCCGGCGGTGGAATAGATTCGGCAGCGACAGGCGGAGGGACGGCGGGAGGACTGGTCACGGCCGTAGAGGGCTCAAGCGAGACCTGCTCAAGTTGAGCGGCGACCTTCTCCGGGGAGGGCGGTTCGTCAAAGGGAATGATTTCGTCGTCAAACAGATCGTCGTCCCCACGGGATTGGGCAAAGTGGTCCATGGCTGTGAATGAGGATGAGACAACAAAAAGGGTACGCAATAAAACAGAGGACCAACGGCAAACAATCCCTATAGGGAATGGGTATACTCTATAACAATGATGTGCAACAAAACCAAAAAGACGCAGACCCTTCCTCCAAGAGTACAAAATTTGTGGTGTTGCTGGTATTAAGGAATGGACCGGGGAAATAAAAGGTCGGAATATGATGATCTGCACAACGCTGCTCCGCATTTTCCAACCAGATCTTGGGGAAAATCGCCGAGCGTGCAGTGCAGAGCTTCAGGGTCGAACATATTCAGGAGTTGGCTTTACAAGACGAAGCAGTGCTTTTTGGCGGTCATGATTTCCCCCCTTCTATCAGTCTAACACCAAAGATCCCATATTCACTTTTACAAAAGCTCGTTGGAGGCCCCCTGTATAAATCACGAATTTCTTTACTCTGGGTTGTCCTCCGCAGTGATCAGAATGGTGGCAACCAGAACGGATATCCTCCATTCTTGACCCGAAAGACACTCATCAAGAAGCTATACATCCCGAAAAGGATCGCGGCCCAGATGATGACCGCGGCTTGCTGGGTCTTGGGGTCCTTGATCCGCGGCACTCGCAAAGCTAGATTGATCGTTGCAAAGGCGAGGAGTGCATCTGGTAGTTGACAAGAATTAGCAAGAACATCCTCATAGACAGACTGAATGTTACTGGTTGTCGTCGGCCGGCAGACTTACACATTGCAGCCACAATTTGTGTCTCCATCCCATACTGGTTCTGAAACCCGCCAGCGAAGTAGCTGATTCCCCCACGTCCGTTTCCAGCAACATAGGGTACCCTGCGAATATGGTTGAACATATGGCCACTAGTAAAGAGCAAGATCATGATCAAGCTGATACCCGCCCACAAGTTGCGGTTCTGAATGATTGGCATCAGGTAGGGATAAGCGACAGTAATGAATGTGAACAGGCCCAAGGTAATGGTCAGGAACGCGCCGATTCTTGCATAGTTGATAGGTCGGACGATGGGAGGATAATCGCCAGGAGGGAGATGGCGTTGGAGCCAGCCATAGACGCCTTCAGCCGATTGAGGACCGAGGAAATCGAGTCGAAGGGGTTGACCTTCAGGTTTGGCATGCTCGCCGACGGTAGGGGGGAAGAAGAGGAGGACAGGAGCGGTTTGGAGTTGAAGCTGTACGGGAAGTCTGTCAGCAAAGAGCTCGTCACCGTCCCAGAACTAATGCCACCAACAAACCTTCATGAAGACGTTTCTGCCCTGATCGAAATCAATGGTGCTCAGAAGCAACCTCTTGTCCCCATTACGATCGCCCTTCTGCCAGCTTTTCCCCAAAATGCTCCATTCCGGATCGAACTCTCGACAGATCCCACAAGCGTATTTGGCATCTCGAGCCGTCAGCAGGACAGCGAGAGAGTAGTCCCGCGGCGAGGCTGTCAATTCATAGTAGCTTTTCTCGTCGAGTTCGAAAGGTGCGGAGGAGGCCTGTTTGGCAAAGTAGGTGTCGAATTTGTTTGTCGTGGCAACCTTTTTAGCGGAGATCCCGGCCGTCAGGGTAAGCGCTGTGAGCGCCAGCAGTCTGAATAGCCGCATGTCTTTGTCCTGGGCAAGATGAAGGAGTTTGGATATGGAGAGGGGACTTGGAGAACTACAGCCCGCGAGACAGGGTGTTCAATTGAATTCTTCGGCAAAGTTGCATGTTTTATGAATCATTCAGATGGGGCTCAATTGCATCCTCTACTACAACCACTTGACGCACAGGACATCCAGTTGTCTCTATGGATGACAATACGGAGGTTCATCTCGGTCGTATTGAAAGGTCTGGTTTTTACATTCCAAGGTGCATAAAATGCTTTCAATCTTGCGTGTTTACACTCTTGGGCAGATCTAGTTCACTGTTTCCGACACTCCCGCCAGCAGTGACTCCGCTTGTAGCTTCATAGTGTCTTGGAACCAGAATCCTTGTGTTTGAGAGACCGAGGAATCGAAGAGAAAGCCACTCAGAATGTCGACCGTGTCTTCCCAGGTGAGGAGTCCCATATCGTGAGCCTGACGCGCAAACTGTTCGTGGAACCAACCATCAAATAGCTCGCTGCTCAAGGCAGGCTGCTGACGGCGTTGTTCATAGATGGCGCCGACGTAGAAAGCCCAGAGTCTCGCATTCTTCCATTTACGCCATGCGGGGCTGTCTCTGGGACGCTCGCTCTTGACAAGAAGAGGTCGCAATGTTTCGAGCACATTCCCCGCCCAAATATTCTTACCGCAGACATCGTTTTGGAAAGTAAGAGCCCGTGACCACTTGACAGCACTGATGGAAATGTATTGCTGGGCGTAATCGTAGTCGAGTTCTGGTCCCGAATCCGTCTCGGCGAGCTGCTTGAATCGGCAATAGCGGTTAACCAGTGTTCCCAGAGCAATGCCCCAGCTATACTGGCCCCAGCCGAGAAGCATTGTGGCAACATTGGCAGGTAGCCCATCGGACCACCTACGGCGCCATCGGGCACAAATCTCGCGACACAGCCTGATGCAAGCCGTCATCTCATCCGAGTCGATCGTCGGGTCAAAGGCGTAGAAATCCAACGGCGCAGGGGGGAGGATTGGCTCGATGGCTCGCAGAAACGGTGCGAAGGCCTTTGGCAGCCACTCGTGAACGTCAAAAGCAGGAGGGGTCAAGAGCTGCGTGGACATATTCAGGTCTGCGTATAGAAAGAAAAACAAAAGCTCGATCATCGTCAATCCTATCTCGTCGAGCTTGTCGAAAAGACCTCGGCCCTGCTCGAAGTGCTGGTCAACGAACTTGCTGAGCATTTTCCCGTGCATTTGCGCTGCTTCGACATTTTCTGCCGCGATCTCAGCGGTCCATATCATGAAAATGTGCCACCAGATCCAGGGATCGACTTTGGATATGCCGGCCAGTTTCTGCCGCAATGCAGCCGTGCTCTTAGCACGGTAGACCAAAGACTTTTGTACCAGGGACCGACCTTGACTAGTGTCGGCTCCTGTGCACATTGCCACAAGTGCAGCATTGCTGCCAATGAAAGCCAGAGCGGTTCCCTTGTCCAGTAACCCTGTGGAGCAGACCCGCCAGTCAACTTTGGCACGAGCGTTTGCGAGGTTGTCCTTGGATTTGACGTCGAGCCGCCATGTTGCAGGGATAAGGATATCTCGGTAGAATGTCACAATCCTATTCTCTTCCACAGTGATGGGGACTGCGGACGCGCTAAACGGATCAGAATTGCCTTTGTTAAGGACGGTGACTGGTGACAGGGTCTGGAGCTGTCGTTCCTCTTGTAGGAGCATGAGACGCCGATTCTCGTCATTTGGGTCTGTGCCCTGCTCGGCCCTTGGCACATTATCGCCAACGGCATTGTCCTCGGACGGACCAGGTCGGTGCTATACCAACATTAGACATTCTGCAAACAGGCAGGCTTCGTCCTTACCACTGATGGCGGCGGTTGTGGCTGCGGCTGTTTAAGCCTTCCTGGAATCTTCACAGAGGCACGTAATGCTTTGTTTTTTTCCTGTCGCTCCCAGCTGCGGTAGTTGTTCTGAATGTGCGAGAATACCCGGTGCCGATGCGGCAATGTTTTCATATTTTGAGCATCATAATTGACCCACAAAACGGCCGGAGCCTCCATTGCGCTGTGAGACTAGTACAGTCCGCACTGGACTCGAGGGAAGTAGAAGATGGTCTCTGCGTGTCAAAGAGAGAGCGAGGGTCGAATAGAATACACTCCGCTTCGTTGAAGATGGGCATCCGGTTGGACTTTTAAGACTTCTCCCAAGAACCCCAGGCCTTCCGCACCCATCGTCGCACGGGTAGCCACCTTTGTCACGCCGCGGCATTTCGGTTAGCACCGAGCAATTGTGCATAGCAGAAGGATCAGAGTAAGTCCTCATGGGCGAATGGCGTTTGTCGTTGCGGGATGGGTGTTGGGAGTGCAGCAGAAAGAGTGATAACTTCTGATACATTTGACTGGCCGGCCCTTTGCCCACTTTGCGCAGCCTGCTGTTTTAACGGCTTCGCTTAACTGGCGCAGTGGAGAATGGCTGACTCAAAACTGACCGGACTGTCACCATAGTCTCTCCCTACCTGCCGCCTCACGTGGAGTCAGACTTCTTGACCCTTTCTACTTGTACGGGCCGAACAAAGCGTATTTGGCATATGGGTCTCCCAAGGACACGCCATGGCCCAGACACCCGTAAAGTCAATTTCAAAGACATCTCTTTCCGTCAGAATCCAACAGGCTAACAAAAGTCATTCTGATGTGACCTGAGATAGGCCAGCCCATTTGACGCACGGATTCTACCATTACACGAGTACTCCAGATCGCCGTTCCTCACAAGTGAAACCTCCACCTCGGATCTTCATCTCCAAGCCAGGGCCCATCGACCGGAGCATTCTCTGCTGTTCTAGCCTCTCTTCGCTCATTCTGCCTCTTCAAAACCATCCACAAGGTCGTAGTCACGATCAAATTAGCCACCATGTAGGCCAACGCGAACGAGTGACCCAGAAAATACCTGGGTGCTGTTTCTGTTCGATAGAGCTGGGTACCGATAACAGCTCCCAGATTCCCCAGCGAGATCTGCAATGCATTGGCAACAGCTCTCTTGGTCTGACCACTGACATTGTTTGCTGGCCAGGCAAGGGTCAACGCCACGGATGGATAGATGCCGGCTGCGGCGAATATGATTCCCACATATGACACGCCCGGCCTTGGGTCGCTCAGGAGTAGAATGTATCCAATGATGGCGAGGGACGACGACATCAGGATAAATGGTGTCCGGATACAATATCTCTCGGAGAACACCGCAAGGCCAATGGTAAGGAAAAATGCGATTGCATAAGGTGGAATAGTCATGAGCTGTGCTTGGGCCGACGAATATCCAAGAGACTTGATGATGGTCGGAAGAAAGAGTGACAACGTGTAAAGGGGAAGTGAGAGGGTGTGAAACCCGAATGCGTAGAGGTAGCATTTGATATCAGTAAAGGCTTTTTTGACGTTGTTCCAGTCCAACTTCTCATCTTGGGTTGCATCGCTGTCGATCTTGAGACGGTGCTGGATGTATTCTCGCTCCTCGTTGCTCAAGAACTTTGCCGTATCTGGGTAGTTGTGGATGAAGAAGTATGCAGCTATCGAGACCACAACAGTAAGTAGACCTTCCTGTGGAGCCTTTAGTATGCGCACGATGACTCTGAACAGGATTACTGACCAGAATAAATATCCATCTCCATCCATTATAGCCGCCAACTCCTCTCATGTGAGCAATCCCCCATGCGAGGATACCACCAAAAGCTCCTGCCAGCGAAGCTGCGCTGAAGAATAGAGCCACACGAAACTGTCGCTCATTGCGCTTGTACCACATTGACAAGTAGAAGACGATGCCTGCCGACATGCATCGTCAGCCTAACGACGCTTAGGGCCACAGGAAGAGGATTACATACCGGGAAATAGTCCAGATTCAGCCACTCCCAGGAAAAATCGAACAACAAAAAAGCCATCACGGGATTGAGTGACACCCATGAGTGTACTCACGACACCCCAAGTGAGCGTCAGTGTGGGCAGCCAAAATCTCGGAGTCCACATTTTCAGAATCAGATTGCAAGGAACTTCGAAAAGAACATAGCCGATGAAGTAAAGCGTCAATCCGGTTAGATATTGGTCTCCCGTCATATTCAAGTCGGTTGCCAGGCCCTCGATACGTGCATTGCCGACATTGCTCCGGTCGAGAAACGAAAGAAGATACAGCGAGGTCAGGGCTGGAAGAAGGGTGAGGTCGAGCTTGCGCACAAGAGCTCGCTCATTGATATGACCTTCAAGACTTTCATCGACACCGGTTGGGGGAACACCTTTCTCTGTCGGACTGGAACTGTCGAGAGGGGCTTTTTCGATTGAAGCCATTGTCCTATGTCGTTATTATCGCGGCTTGCTCTCTCCGAACAACGGGTTGTGATTCAAGAGAAGGTAGAGAGTGCAACAGAAGCGTGGACATGGCTAGGAGATAGCTGCAGGGAACGGAGTGGTTCATATAGATCCTCGATACCGTTGTAGGAAGGTCAGCATTCGAGCGCATAGATCCATGACGCTTCTCCCAACCGTTGTGGGAAGGATTGGCTGAATCGTTGTGGTGCAAATATCATGGCAGATTGCGTGATTCTGACAGCCGGATTTGGAAACACCGTCTCCGAAAACCCAATTGTATTGGACGATTCATGCTGAGAATTGTTATGCAAAGGGGGATTGCCGTCCTTGGTGGTATCTCGGTGGAGGTATGTTAGCTCCTTCACTGGCGCCATGTTGAGGAATACAACGAGTCGTGATATAGATCCATACATTCTATACTTGTACAAGAATAGATCAAGGAGACGATCCCACGCGTCCCTGGGGCAGGTCTTGATCCCCTTTTCATTGGGCCGGAGTGTCGCCGCTCAACGTCTCCGCAAACCATGTGGCCACAGAAGGCTCTAAGAACTCGTAGAAGACAAAGCGGTGGAGGATATGTCGTGCTTGAGGCCACTCATTGAGCTCCAGGATCTCTGCCTGTCGAGCAAACATCTTAGTGAACCAGGTCCTTGGTGGCATGATGCCTTTGATCTTTTGATTTACCCGCCACTCAAACCTTGCGCCATAGAAAAATATCCACAAGAGAGCGTCACGATACTGGGTCAGTGCGTCGTCTCTTGCTATATTCATGGCTTTCCTCATAGTGCCCTCGAGATGATTGATGGTGATCATGTGGTGACTAGTTCGGTGGTCACAACCGTACACAGTGGCTTCAAAGATCCCTCGTCGCAATATGTGCAATGTCGTCAGGGCCAGTGATGCTTCAATAAGTCGACAAGGTGCTGAGATTCCATCAACCCTTCCGGCAATGAGATTGATGTACGCATTAATCAAGGCTCCGGAATCGTACTGAGAATAGGTTGTGAAGATCGTGTAGACCGCATCCGTGCGATTAAGGTCTGCAGGGTCATTCAGATTGACAGTGGTTGACCGGACGAGCAAGTACTGTCGAAGCCTGATCGCCGCTTGGCGAGTGGCATCCAGTTGGATGCTATCATGGAGGGCCTTGTACTGAATGGGCAATGGGGGCATGTGCGTCTCAGGTTTTTCCACCCAGAATCGAGCAATCTGTCTCTGAACCCAGTTTTCAAAATCGAAGAAGGTGTTTCGCATTTGAGCTATGGCCAATTCTGTGTCGTTATTCATACAGGTCATGAATAACGTCCGGATATGAAGACTTGAAGTCTCGACTCTGTCAACCAGACGCTGAATGATGTTTGCGTGGATCCTTGCCGCGGCGATGTCGTTCTCTTTGCAAGCTGCTCGAAAGAGCGAGACAATCTGTGAGACCAACGATATATCCGGCGGAATATCAAGTGATAGCTTTTCGATCCGGTCTTTCAAGATCTTCATGCTCTTCGTCCGCATCTTGATGGCCAGAAAATGTAGATCTCGAGCCGTATCTGGCGAGGAGAATTTTGCCAAAACTGGAATGTAGCTTGAACACCACGACAGCGCTCGTCCTTCATCGGAGAATTCTTCCTTCATTGAATTCCACACTTTCGCTACAGTACGTCGACCGAAAACGTGGAATCCCTCACCGATTGTCGTGAGCATTGGAGCTCCGCGCGGGGCGTCTCTGAATTTCATGTACGAAGTGATATAGACACCCGGCAAATAGCCATCTCGTATGAACGTTATGAGTTTGTTGATCTCGGGGGTGATCCGTAGAGCCTGAGCGTTAAATGGGTCTGAGTTGCCGCCAGGGAGAATTTCCAGGAGACTTGAGGCGCCCTCCTTGGTAGTGTGGAACGTCGTGGCTTGCAAAATGTTCTCCCCCCTGTAAAGCGCGAAGTCACCATAGCCACGTTTGTCCTCCCGGACCTCTGACAAATGTCCATGTTTGGCATTTGCGCGGTCATCTGAGCATTGAGGAACATGTCAATCTGGATTATGCACATCAAGGAGCCAGAGATGGCTCGACTTACCTTGATCCTCAGACAGAAAAACTTCCTTCAGTGCCTGCTTCCTTTTCTTGCGCCTTTCGTGAGACCACTTCGCAGCGTGTGATTTTTGGTTTGCAATCTCAAGTTCCTTCTCAACTTGTGTGGCCTTGGAATCAAGCTGCGGTACAAATCTCACAGTGGAAAATGTGTAGGTACGCATCCTCTCATATTCATGTCATCACTTGGCAATCTCCAAAAATGGTATGACAATGAATAGAGACCAAACTCCCACCCGAGAATGGGGCCATCTTTGCAATATAACCCTCGAGAAGGTCAAGATCCAAGGAGAACTGCTGAGCTAATATCCCTGCATAGGAAGTCAGCTGAGGACCCAATGAATGGCGCAAGGCTCGCTAAATGAGCAGCATGTGCTTGAATCCAAGATTCTGTATCGAGGTTGAGTGCATATCACACCTCTCTGCTTTTCACCGGCTCTTTCAAGCGGAACATCGGTTCTCGGCAAATGTCCAGACCATACGGGATCGGGAAATACAATCATTATCAAGCTGATCAATGGACTGAGGAGCCTCGTGGCCGAAGTTAATAAGCAGAAACTCTCTTTGCCTCCCGATAACAATCGGGACGGGGAAAGACATATCCGCTGCTAGAGGGAGTCCTCTGCACATC